TTGGTCCTGGGAAACAAATGAGGTGACCTTTCTCTGTGACGGGAGGAGCATCAAAAGATCCATCTGTCCATGAATTTTCTTCTGCCATTTTTCTGTGATGTCTGAAATGATACCCTACAAATTCCAAAAATTACAGATTTTTTTTAACTGAACGGCCTTTGTTTTATCTATCAGGGTCATATCTCAACAAGTGTTTACCCAGTAGTACATCTTTGAAATCCTGGGTATAATTCCTGAAGAGCAGATACTTTTCTGGATCTTAGTATTGCAAATACCTAGCACCATACCAGGCTCATAATCTGAATTGCCTTCTAACAAAAAGGAAGGACCCTAAGAGAATATATCATAGATCAGAAACACTTCTTTCAGAACCAGGCAGTCACGAAGGAAAAGTACAAGAGCTGCCTGAGTTTTAGTCCCCTCTTGAACCTTTCCTTTTCTTCCTCTCCTTTTCACTCTCTGATCTGAACACTAGTTTCCCTGTGTGCGCCACACTGGCCTTCGCACTGGTTTGTCCATTTGTCTGGAATGCTCTTCCCCCAGATGGTTGACTCCCTCAACTCCTTCAGGAAATAGCATCTTTTCAGTAAAGCCTGCCCTGGTGTTTTTATTTCAGATTGCAAGGCCTTCTTTCCACCCATGCACTTCTGATCCCACTTATCCAACTTAATATCTTTTTTCCACAGTATGTATCATGTTCTAAGATGAACTTACTATAACTGCTATTACTAGTAGTGATACTACTATTTATTATTATTATTAGGTCTCTCCCAAAACAGCAAAGATTTTGTTCTGTTTCATTTATCATATATCTCAGACAACTAGAAGAGTGCCTGGCATGTATTAGGTGTTCAATAAATAAATGTCTAAATGGATGAACGAATGAATTCCTATTCATAAGTTGAGAGTATTGAACACCTAGGCTGGAGTGCCAAGTATCTGAAAGTGCTGGGAATGTAGATGAAGGATACAGATTGTGATGTAGACCAGCTGCCAGCCTGACAATTTTACCTACAAGTATACCTTTATCAAATAAATGTGGACTTTGTAAAAATAAAAATATGAAATTTGTTATAACTTTTTTAAATATGCAAGCTAAGTTTTTGTGATAATGAATGGGCAGGTATCCATATATCAGTTAAAGTGTAGTTGTGCCAGAAAATGTAAAAATGTGAGCCTCACAGAAAAATTATAGTGGTTATAATGTATAGTTCTGCTCTACCTCATTGACAAAATTCTTTTCCCATAAAATTATAGTTGCTTCACTGTATACTTAAAGGCAAAAACACAATTTTACCAACTATCAGGCTGTAATTCTATGTTTTCATATGACAGATTCATTTCAATAACAGTTGATTTAGTGACATAAAGATAGGTTTGTTACATGTGAATGTCAGTCTGTCTTTGGTTATCAGTGTCTTCAGAAATTTGATTTTCTTCCCTGCATCTGTCTCATTGGATTCCAAATATGAGCTGGAAGAGCATGCTGTTGCTTTCCTATTTGTTATCCAAGATTGCCCAAGCATTAGTATAATGTCCTAATTGAACCTCAAGCTCATTTTTGAAATATTCATGGTCTAATAACTTGGAAAGACTGGTAACATAAAGCACAATTTGGGAATCAAGATACCAACCAAGGCTATCGTGCCTATTATGCTACTTTGACTTCACTTATACATAAAAGTAGATAGAAATTGGTTTACTGATATGGTTAGTAAAAATTTCAACTGGGAAGGAACAGAAAAATGTGTTGGGAATAGAACAGTGGCAAGGTTTTGGAACTTGAGCCATAGACATTGATCTTTTCTCTCTACCCCCAAGGATGATTTTTATATTCTCTGCACTCCCAATTTAGAAAAAGATTTTTAAAAGTCTAATATCCTCAAAATGATTGCACCCATTTTGGGGAGGATGTGGTAGGGGAGTGGAGGAAATTGCTATTTAAAAAAAGAAGCTGAGAAAAGAAGGATTTGAAGATTTATTTTAAAACAAGATTTACCACAATAAAAACTTTGGTATCAAGGTGGGAAAATAAAGTCAAGGATGTCTCTCAGAAAAGAGACAAACCAGGAGAAAAAAAGATGAGAATTAAATTCCAGACATACAATGTCCAATTGATAGAGTTGTTGTAAAAAGAGAAACCCTGAAGAGTAGTTGGAAGGAATTTATCAAAGAAATGTTAGAATTCCGCCTGAGTTAAAAAATTCAAGTCTTTAGATTATAAACGTTTACCAAGCATCTAGCATTCTGAAGTAGAGGAGACCATTTTTGTCTCACTTAGTGTGGAATTTCAGAAATACAAAAACAGAAAATTCTTAAAACTTCGAGAACGAAAAACCAGGTCATGTACTAAAAAGTGTGTATCAGACTAGCATCAGCAGCAGCGCTGGCTGCTAGAAGGCAGTGGACGAATGGCGCCAACATTCTTGGGCAAGGTTGTTTTTATTCTAAAATTTGGTAGCAAGCCAAACTATACAAATGTGAAGACAAAATAAAGACATTTTCAGATGTGCAAGATCCAGAAAGTTTTCTTCCACATCACCTTTCTTAGGAAGTTAGAAGGGAGTGATCTAAGAAAGAGAGAAACGTGGGAAACTGAAAATAGTAAATTCAACCAGGAAAGCACTGAAGATACATCCCGAGATAATACCTATGCAGCAAGGTCTAGAGAACAACCCTTCCTGAGGGAGGGTAAGAAAGGCTCTCAGAAGAATAGAACGTATGATTAAAAGCTAAGATTTCAAGTCCCTTTGGGTTGTCCCAGAAGTCACTGTTAGGGACCGTATGAAAGGAAATTTAATAAACCTCCTAGCCTTGTTTGAACAATGTATTGTCATGAAAATGCTGCTGCTTGTATAGGCGTTCAGCTTTTAGAATCAGGCTTTGGGGAGAGCAAGAAGAATTTGGTAGAGGTTACAGGAGAGGATGTTAATTTTCTTAATATTAACAGCCTTAAATATTAATACAAAGAAGCTATCAGCAGGTGGGGGGTAGTTTGAGGAAAAGAATGTATGGGCACTATTACCCTCTTAGAAAGTGAAGAGTTAGGATCCTGTCTAAAACTTACCAAAAAAATGAGAGGGTTTTGTGAAGATAATTATCAGATAGTAGGGAAGAAGATGATGGATGGAAGGGACATAATATAAGTAAGTCCTTCATCTTATTTTTAAATCAGTAGGCATTGTTGTAAAGTTAATAAACTAAAAAATTGTCAAAGTTAGTGCAGAAAGAATTAGATTTATTTTTTAAAGCTTAGGTATGGAAGTGAGAAGAGACTTGCTTTTCATCTTAAACTATTCTGCCACTATTTGATTTGTTACCCATGTGTAAGTATTACTTTGATTTTAAAGACAAAAAATTTAGGAAACAGGAAATAACCCAACTTGACAAAAGACTGTATAAGGGAATGTTGGGAAATAATGCCAGAAAAGGCAGTTGAGACCGTGTTGCAGAGGACCTCCAGTGCCAAGGTGAAGCAGCACATTTAATTTGGGAAAACTTGGGGAAGTTTTTGAGCAGTTAGTCATATAACTGGAGCATCTACTTTCAGAAAATGAATTTGTCAGGAGGATTAATTGGAGTGGCAGTGGCAAAAAGGGGCATGATGAGTGACCAAGCTAGTTTCAATTTCCTGTAGGAAAGGTAATGAAGGATTACATCTAGACAGTGTTACTGGGAATAGAATGAAAGGTATTCCCAGTACTGTGCTTAATACATAGTAGGTGCTTAGTGTGGTTATTCAGTGAAGGGATCTAAGGAGACTTCATTTTTTAGTAGTTTTTTGACAATGAAAGGGAAGGAAGGGTAGTCATCAAAAATGAAGTCTTTCTTGAATAGTAACTGCTATTTTTTGTTAGATCTGTGACCTGATTGTAGCTCACACTGTGGAATGAGGCTTGATCCTGAATGCCTGTGACAAAATGCAGAATGGTTATAATCAGTAATCCTTCCCTGCCTGTGTTGCATTTTTATTTGTGACAGATAATTGTAGTGGGTATTTGCTATGAAATATAAGATGAAAAAATATTGCAGCCTAATAAATTATATCCCACTTAACCCAAGAAAAAAAGTGCTAAAATACACAGAGTATGATAATAGTCTGTGACAAGCTTATGTTTCTTGTTTTGTTGGGTTTTATTTTATTGTATTTTTGGGCTGATTTTTATGTCTTGATTAAATAGGGTGTACTTAATCTTCTGATCTCAGGGTAAATAAATAATTTAAATTATGTGTATACTTATATGTATTTTCAGCCTTTCTCTTCTGACACCTTCTCTCAAATATAGTAAAACAACCACCATCTTTAAGTATCCGTTTCTTAACTCTAAGATCTTCTACTGTTCCATCATGCTGGAAAGACATTTTTTTTTCTGTCTAATCCTCCATCCAAATGTTGAATCTTTTTTGATGTTGTGTTTTAGAGTTACCCCTTTCTCCCCTCTCAGATCTCAGGTTGTCCTAGAAGCAGGAAGTAACTTAGATATTTCAAACACAACAAATTTCAGCATGCTAATTCAGATGGCCTTGCTGAGGGTAGAAATTTCCACATTTACTTTGGAATATGTTTCAACCCCTCTCCCCAACGATCAGGTTTTTTTGTGTATAGTATTGATTCTACCTGATACAGCCACATATCAGAGCATAGCAGATTAGTCTGATCTGTTTTCAGACTTATTTATACCCTATGCCCTCAGCCAATGAAACTAATTATTCTGATTATTTCCATTAGGAAGCATGAAGACTTGAAAATATTCAGTGCTAATGTTATGTAGAGGTTTAACTGGCCTGTGTGGTTGACTGGTATTATTCTGTCTCTGACATTTAACTTAAAGTATATTTGCTTGGCATGTGTTCTCTTTTTACTTGATGGGTCAGTAAAGGCAGTTTATGTATGTTAACTTGAGGATTTCTAGTATGATACACTAAATTTATATTGCTTGATTTATTGCCAGAGGAAGTAGCTCTAACTCTGTTTTATCCCCTTATATTTGCATCAACAGGAAGAAGGCAGTATCAAAGAAATTGCAATCACACATCATGTAAAGGAAGGACATGAAAAGGCAGATCCTTCCCAATTTGAACTTTTAAAAGTATTAGGGCAGGGATCATTTGGAAAGGTAAGTCATGAATATGTACTTTTTAAAAAGTTGTTTTTTGAAATTAATGTATATTTCATACAAATGGGAAATGGAAATATTTTATTGAAATACTACTGATCTCCCAACCAAGCGAAATTCTCTGTTTTTACAATTCTCACTATCAGTAAGTGTGAGAGAGTGATTAAAACCATTCAAAAGTACATTGGAAACTTTCATAAACTGGCAGTATTCAGTTCATTTTATCTTCAAGGCATTCAGTTCAGTTCAGTTCAGTCGCATAGTTGTTTCCGACTCTGCGACCCCATGGACTGCAGCACACCAGACTTCCCTGTCCATTACCAACTCCCAGAGCTTGCTGAAACTCATGTCCATTGAGTCGATGTTGCCATCTAACCATCTCATCCTCTGTCATCCGCTCTTCCTTCTGCCTTCAATCTTTCCCAGCATCAGGATCTTTTCAGATGAGTCAGTTCTTCACATCAGGTGGCCAAAGTATTGAAGCTTCAGCTTCAGCATCAGTCATTCCAGTCAATATTCAGGACTGATTTCCTTTAGGATGGACTGGTTTGAACTTGCAGTCCAAGGGACTCTCCAGAGTCTTCTCCAAGACCACAGTTCAAAAGCATCAGTTCTTCAGCGCTCAGCTTTCTTTATAGTCCAACTCTCACATCCATCCATGACTACTGGAAAAACCATAGCTTTGACTAAACCGACCTTTGTCAGCAACCTCTCTAATTGCACTTCTCAAATGATTAAAAAATCATAAAATGTTCCCATGATACACTGGTCTCTTTTTGAGGCTTCATGTAGAATTGGAAGGTGATCCTGCGTTATATTCTAACCCTGCATGTCAGTCTTTTCTCTGGAGTATCCCTAATTCCAGCAGAAAGTGAATTGGTACTTCCACGGAAATAGGGTGCGGGGTTAGCACTACAGATATGAAATTAGGGGACTTCTAGCTTGTCTTTAAAATGAATGCAAAGTTTGCATTCTAATCAGTGATATCTGTGTCTGTTTTAATATCTAAAAATATTTCCCAGATCCACTGGCTGAAATTGCAACACCTTTATCATTTTTCCCCCTGTTGCATACCTCAGGAGCACTTCCTGTACTCCATTTTGGGAAATACAGCTTTATAATCACTACTACTTGACCTGTCTATCTAGTACATTTCTCAGCAAAGGAACTTTTCTGAGAGTTCATTTAACTTTCACCATGCAATGAATGCTTCTTTGCCACCTCGCTGAGGAAGCATTTGAAGATAACATGTTTTGCAAGTTTCAAAACAACACCAGTTTTTCTCTCTTGTGTATTTTAATGGGACTATTTAGCAATTCTTGGCTAACATAGGTAAACTGTTACAGCTGTTAACTTCTTTCAAACCCAAAATGATATTTTTAATCCAAATAAAGATTAAGTAGACAGAAGAAGATAATGGTTGCAAGTTTGCGCTCTAGGTCAGCCAGAGGTATATTCTCTTTCTTTTTTTCCTACATACTTGCTATTTGTGCTTGAGCAAGTTAGTAAACCTCTTCAAGCACCATTTCCCTCTTCTAGGCAGTCATCAGGTATTGAAGTTCTCAATGTTCCATTCTAGGCTCCCTTCTCCTCACTCTCTACCAGCTCCTAATTACTTTCTCTATGTCCACTGTCTTAATAAAACCCTTGTACAGCTGACCTAAGAGACTTGCACCTTCAGTCTAGATTGTGCCTCCAAGCTCTGAACTCTATGTATAGCTACTTGTTTTTTTTCTTTTTGCATGCCTTAAAGTCAGTTTAAACTCAACATGTATAAGACCAAACTCATGATTTTCCCCTAATCCCCAAACCTCTCCTGTTTCATTTTTCTCCATCACTATGAATGGCATACATTCTTAACATATCCTTCTGGTCCCCACCTTTTCCTCTCCCCTCACCTCTACCAATATGATTTGTCCACAAGTTTTGTTGATCTAGTAAAGATTTCTCAAATCATGCCTGTTTTCTCTTTTTCCCTGCCACTTCTTCAGTCTGTGCCACCACCATTTCTCCCTGACCTGTTGAAGAAGGCTCCTACCTTGGGCTTCCCAAATTTATTCTTGCCTCAAGCCATTATTTACAGGGCAGCCAAGAGGAGCTGGTCTTGTACTCTGTCCCCTTAACACTTTGGTAGCCTCCCTTTGCTTTCAGGAGAAAGACGAATTCTTTAAGATGGTAGAGGAGCCCCTGATTCTGCCCCCTAACTACCTCATCAGCATCACTTTATATACTTTCGCTACCTGTGTTCTTGCCACATGGGCTTCTTTTTCAGTCTGTAAGCAAAAGCCTTTTGCACGTGCTGTTCCCTCTGCCTGAAACAGTGTCCCAGCCCCACCTCTTCCTCCTCTGGTTAGCTCCTGTCATGCTTATGAGCTCAGAGACGTCTTCTCAGCCATCCTGACTAGGTCATATTAGTCTCTTTTACCCTTGCAGAACATTACATACCTCATCTTCACAGCACTCACCACAGTTGCAGTCTTTTGTTTGAGTAGTTATTTGTTTATTGGCTATCTCCCACACTAGACTGTATGTTCTATGAGCGCAGGGGCCTTGTACCATGTCTTAGCATTGATCCTGTAGCACCTTACCTAGCATATAGTTCTGGAAAGAATTAATGAGTAAATAATGTCCTACCCTCATAAGGTAGTAGAATTAAATCATGTAAGGTCAAGCACATATCTGCTATGAGATTATATTATCCTGTAATTTATTATGGATAAACCAAAATCGATGGACTTATTTCAGTGTATTATATTTTCAGCGAACATAATATTGAAGTTTCCAGGAGTTAGCATGCTTCTCCCTTTATTTCTTTAAGAGTAACTTAAATACCTTACTAAAAATAGCAAACATTAAAAATAGGGCGTCTCCTTTCTTACTCATCCTCAAAAGCCAGTCTAAGCCAAGGAAACAGAGATGACCTGTCACAGCCTAGAATAGCTTCATGGGGGAGTTAGAAAGGTCAGAAATGCTGGTGGGAGAAGATCCAGTGGCATCTGGGACTGCTGCTGCTCCTGCTGTGCTTGACTGGTGACCTGCCAGAGGCAGCGGAATAAGAGGGCCCTGAGCAGAAGCACAGAGCTGGGTAGCTGGCCCAATTCTTATCCTGATGTCACCACTGTGACTCTATGTGAACTGTTTCACCTCTCAAAGTCCTAGCTTGGGCAGCTATAAAATAGACATTGCTTAATAGGCCTGCTTCCCAAAATTATCATGAATGATGCATTACAAATCCTTGTGAAAGTCCTTTGCAAAAACTAAGATGTGCTGAAAGGTATCAAGAGGATGCTTTCAAAGAAGGGTGAAGAAAAAAAAGGGTGAAGAAAGCTTACAACCCATGAAGACAATCTTTCTTGTAGAATGACCCAAAGAAACTTGATTAGGGACCCTTAAGAATGAATAATAAATATCATATAAATCCTCACTATCCCTACCTAATTAAAATTTATTTCAGTTCAGAAATATCCATGATCTCTGACTGCCTTTAATATTTGAACATCATTCCTCCTTAGGAACTACCCTGACTGAGAATACACTTTTCTCCCTAAGTTGGCTTACTTCTATCTGGCTGAAAGAAAGTTTCACCAGGGGCCATGGTGAACGAGGACAAGGGGAAAGATTTGGGCAGAGAAGCACACCCTGCATCGGGGTGTCTGTGTACATCGTGGCACTTTTCAGTGAGATCATTGCCCGTTGTCTTTGGAAAAATTTCTCAAAGTGAGGAACTCTGCCTTGCACTAGAATCAGTTGAATGGATCAGTTTTTTATTTTGTGCTAATAGTCTAGTGTGCTGATGCAAATTATTGAGAGCTGACCCTAGAATTATTCCTTGATTATAGTTGTGTCTCTTCTTAGCATCTGTGGCAGCTCAATAGCACTGCTAGGAAAGAATGGGTAGGAGGAAAAAAGTTGAAATTCAGGTCCATTTAGCAAGTCTGTTTAAAAGTTTGATGGAAAAGATCATGAAACGCATGATCAAAATGAGTAGAGGAGGTATAGTGATAGTTTTGTATTATCCATGTTATAGTATGACCATGAGTTATTTAGAGCAGGCTTTATTCATTTTGCATAAATCTCACACTGAATTTTGGAAATACTTGGAAAATCAAGAAGCTCAGTAACATACCTGGGAATTGTATTCTTAATATTTAGGTTATATGTGTATATTTGGTTTTTAAAAGATGGGAAAGCAGGGTTCTGACTTAGTTTACATTAAATATTTATGAGTAGGCTTCTTCAGTATAAGTGTTTTAAATTGTTCTGCCCAAGTCAAAACTGCAGTGAGATATCACCTCACACCAGTCAGAATGGCCATCATTAAAAAGTCTACAAATTGTAAATGCTGGACAGGGTGTGGAAAAAAGGTAACCTTCCCACACTGTTGGTGGCAATGTAAATTGGTACAGCCACTATGGATGTTCCCTAAAAAACTAAAAATAGAGTTGCCATATGATCCAGCAATCTCACTCCTGGACATACATCCAGAGAAAACTGATTCGAAAAGATACATGTACCCCAATGTTCATAGCAGCATTATTTACATAGCCAAGACATGGAAGCAACCTAATGTCCATCAGTAGATGAATGGATAAAGAAGATGTGGTGTGTATATACAATGTAATATTACTTGGCCATACAGAAGAATAAAACAAATGCCATTGGTAGCAACATGGATGGACTTAGAGATTATCACACTAAGTAAAGTAAGTCAGAAAGAGAAAGACAAATATCCTATGATATGACGTATGTGTGGAATCTAAAATATGATACAAATGACCTTATTTACAAAACAGAAATAGACTCACAGGCATAGAAAACAAAGTTATGGTTACCAAAGGGGAAAGAGGATAAGGGAGGGATAGATTAGGAGTTTGGGATTAACAGACAGAAACTACTTTATATAAAATAGATAAACAACAAAGTCCTACTGTATAGCACAGGGAATTATTTCCAATATCCTGTTGTAAACCATAATGAAAAAGAATGAATATATAAATGGAATCACTTTGTTGTATACCAGAAACTAACACATTGTAAATCAAGTATACTTCAATTTAAAAATAAAAATAAATTGTTCTGCCCAGTAGATGAGAAATTGTGGCATTTTTGTATATAGAAAAGACTATTCAACAGAATTGGATCAGCAGAAAATTATGGTTAATGGGAACTCCTGTATAACAAGTTTTATGGAATCAGAATTTTTGTTCTGTTAAAAGCAGAGTAGTTACCACCTGTGTTATACTTTAAACATGTTAGACTTTGATTGCTACATGTTTTAAAGATTTTTCTTTGTCTTACATGTTATATGATCTTCGGGGAATTGGCAAATAACAATAAGAAATGTGTTTACTTATATTGACACCTAAAGTTATAACCACTGTTTACAATTCATTGTGTTTATAATTGATAGATTTTAAGGAAAATAGTTAAGGTATCAGAATCTTTCTAATAAGCTGTATTACAATAGGAGTCTTATTTTAGCAATAGCATAGTTTGTGATACTTTGTAAAACTTATTTTCTCTTATTTAAATACAGGTTTTCTTAGTCAAAAAAATCTCAGGCTCTGATGCTAGACAGCTTTACGCCATGAAAGTACTGAAGAAGGCCACACTGAAAGGTAAGTGCTACTGCAATTTGTAGTGTTCGTGTAGTATGAACAGACTGAAAAATCTCAATTGATCTCATATGATTTCTTAACCAGTTACTTAAATTCTGAAATCTGTTCCTCTTACTGTCTTTAAAGTTAGACTTTCTTTTAGTGGATTTTTTTCTACAAGACTGGGAATCATATGACTAGTGAGAATGGGAATTGCCATGTTTTGAAAGAAGTATTACAAATTTTTCTTGGGATTTACGCAAATAGAAGTTTAGAATATTAAAACTAGGTTTGATACCTTTACCAGTTCATATTAGTATTTTAATATTTTTTAAATGTACTAATTAATTTATGATGCACAATAGCTTTTATTCTAAGGACTTTATCATTTTGACTTCTGGTCTGCAAATAAGTTTTCATTATAAGGCTCTGATTTTGAAAAAAAAATCTAATGTCAGATTTGGTTCTTATAGGTAAACAGTCTCTTAGAAAAAATTGTACCTAGATTTTAAAATACTTAAATCTTCCTTTTTAAAAGTAGTATTGGTTTTTTTACCACATAACCTCTGATTGTTTTATGTGTTGATTCCTAACATCTTTTTTTCCTCTTCAACTTTACCTGTATTTTCTAAAGGTTTTAAAATGTTCTGGAAGGAATGTTTATGATGATCAGTTACTATTTCTGATGTTATTCTTCCCAATTAGTAACTTGCGCTGGATTTTACCATCGTTTCAAGAAAGTTCACCCTCTTCTATAAACACCATCCATTGCTTCTGTTCTTTTGCTCCTTCCTGAATGTATTTTCTTTCCTATCTAGTCTCCACTTCCTGGCCTACTACTTAGTTGATTCTTCTGGGACCAGGGCATTAAAATTATATCTTTAGTGTCCTATTCTATGTCACTGTTTTTTGTAACTTCATACTCATGAATCCCATGTTATAAAGCTGCATTTGTTGTTCAGTCATCCAGTTGTTTCTGGCTCTTTGTGACCCCATGGACTGCAGCATGCCCGTCTCCCTGTCCCTCACCATCTCCCGAAGTTTGCTCAAGTTCATGTCCGTTGCATTGGTGATGCCATCCAGCCTTCTCATCCTCTGACGTCCGCTTCTCCTTCTGCCCTCAATCTTTCCCAGCATCAGGGACTTTTCCAATGAATTGGCTGTTTGCATCAGGTGACCAATATACTGGAGCTTCAGCTTCAGCACCAGTCCTTCCAATGAGTATTTGGGAATGATTTCCTTTCAGATTGACTTGTTTGACTTCCTTACTGTCCAGGGGACTCTCAGGAGTCTTCTCCAGCTTATTTAGGACAGTTCATTTACAGAAGCAACAGAAATAGTTTGTTTTCATGTATATAACAGCACTTGTGTTGTGCATAATATATATAAAGGAAACAATGAAACTCTCAGAAACCTAAAAGATATTAGGAAAGGAAAAACATGCCCAATTCCTTTTAGAGAAGGCTAATAAGATTCTCAGTATTCCTCTAGCCATCTAATTAGCTCCATATCCTCAAGATTCCTGTTGCATTTTCCTTGAAATATTCAAAATTTCACTTGAAAACATATGCCTCAAAGAGTATTCTAAAAAAGAAGAATAAGAAAAGAACAAGCTTTATCAGGCTTAAAGCTTATTTAAAGCAGTAATAATTCATTGTATTTTTTGGGGAAAATATTATAAGTATATAAACCAGTGGGACAAAACAGTACAAAAGTATAATATATTAAAGTTTAATTTATTTGTTGCAAAAATATTGAGTAATTGCTGTGCTGTATAACAAAGCTTGTGTCCAGAAAATGAGAAATTTAATACTGATTTTATAAATTTTGCTTGAAATACTTCTGAACAACCTGGAAGAAAGTCAGTCTTCTCTTAAACCATATACCATAGTAAACAACAATCTAACTGAATTTTACAGTTTAACACATCCTAGGAAACTAGGAAACCTAGGGCCTTAGAAAGCATCACTACGAACAAAGCTAGTGGATGTGATGGAATTCCAGTTGAGCTATTTCAAATCCTGAAAGATGATGCTGTGAAAGTGCTGCACTCAATATGCTAGCAAATTTGGAAAACTCAGCAGTGGCTACAGGACTGGAAAAGGTCAGTTTTCATTCCAATCCCTAAGAAAGGCAATCCCAAAGAATGCTCAAACTGCTGCACAATTGCACTCATCTCACACGCTGGTAAAGTAATGCTCAAAATTCTCCAAGCCAGGCTTCAGCAATACATGAACTTCCAGATGAACTTCCAGATGTTCAAGCTGGTTTTAGAAAAGGCAGAGGAACCAGAGATCAAATTGCCAATATCCGTTGGATCATCAAAAAAGCAAGAGAGTTCCAGAAAAACATCTATTTCTGCTTTATTGACTAAGCCAAAGCCTTCGACTGTGTGGATCACAATAAACTGTGGAAAATTCTGAAAGAGATGGGAATACCAGACCACCTGACCTGCCTCTTGAGAAACCTGTATGCAGGTCAGGAAGCAACAGTTAGAACTGGACATGGAACAACAGACTGGTTCCAAATAGGAAAAGGAGTACGCCAAGGCTGTATATTGTCACCCTGCTTATTTAACTTATATGCAGAGTACATCATGAGAAACGTTGGGCTGGAGGAAGCACAAACTGGAATCAAGATTGCTGGGAGAAATATCAATAACCTCAGATATGCAGGTGACACCACCCTTATGGCAGAAAGTGAAGAGGAACTAAAGAACTTCTTGATGAAAGTGAAAGAGGAGAGTGAAAAAGTTGGCTTAAAGCTCAACATTCAGAAAACTAAGATCATGGCATCTGGTCCCATCACCTCCTGGGAAATAGATGGGGAGACAGTGGAAACAGTGTGAGACTTTATTTTTTTGGGCTCCAAAATCACTGCAGATGGCGATTGCAGCCATGAAATTAAAAGAGGCTTACTCCTTGGAAGGAAAGTTATGACCAACCTAGATAGCATATTAAAAAAGCAGAGACATTACTTTGCCAACAAAGGTCCGTCTGGTCAAGGCTATGGTTTTTCCACTGGTCATGTATGGATGTCAGAGTTGGACTGTGAAGAAAGCTGAGTGCCGAAAAATTGATGCTTTTGAACTGTGGTGTTGGAGAAGACTCTTGAGAGTCTCTTGGACTGCAAGGAGATCCAACCAGTCCATCCTAAAGGAGATCAGTCCTGTGTGTTCATTGGAAGGACTGATGTTGAAGCTGAAACTCCAATACTTTGGCCACTTCATGTGAAGAGTTGACTCATTGGAAAAGACTCTGATGCTGGGAGGGATTGGGGGCAGGTGGAGAAGGGGACGACAGAGGATGAGATGGTTGGATGGCATCACCGACTCGATGGGCATGAGTTTGAATAAACTCCGGGAGTTGGTGATGGACAGGGAGGCTTGGCGTGCTGTGATTCATGGGGTCGCAAACAGTCAGATACTACTGAGCGACTGAACTGAACTGAGGAAACTTGTGAAGAAATGTTGAGCAAATCACAAATTATAAGCAGGTTGACAGTACAAAAATTTTTAGTCCTTCATATAATGAAAAGCAGTATAAAGAGGAAATCAGGAGATTATTTGCCTCAGATATTACAAAATAGTAATATATAAGGAATTTATTAAAAGCCTCCTACTGGCCAAATCTAGGACAGTTTAAACATTGCAGTAATTAATGATAGTGATCGAGTACAACCCACTGAATAAAGAATCCATAGGTTAATCCATAAAATAATTCATGGAGAACAAGGGAAATCTCTTTCTTACAGTAGAATTCCAACTAATAAATGTAAAAGGAATGATTGGGTTAGGAGTTCCTAAGAAATAACATTACAACCTCCACCTACAGGGCTTTAGAATACATTTTATATAAGGGGATAAAATAAACCATATTTGGAAAGATGTCTCAGTTTTCTGATAAATGCTTATAAAATAATGAGTTTTTTCATATGATGGCAACATAAATTAGAAAGCTGTTTTGCATTAAGTATAGCAAGCCATTATTGCTGCTAAAGTAACCTGAGGAAATAATCTCAAAGGAAGATTTTGTGCACTTGCAATTTTTTCATTGCAACAGTATTTACAATATCAAGAATTTAAAATCTTATAAATATTGAAAAATAGAGAACTATTTAGAAAATTACAGTATACCACTTAATAGAATATTATTTAAATGAGCTATTTCAAATGTGAGCATAAAAATGAATGTAATAAAAATTTGCAAGTGAACATTATAACAAATTTGTCTACCTAAATTATATAGATATAAGCTATAGAAGAGACCATAGAAAAGTGAAGATACTTGACATATTGGAATTGTAAGTTGCTGGTGTGTTCTTAAATTTAATTTTTATTTTTCTCAAAGTAATCTGCATATAGAGTCTTGTAAAATATCAGTGCTTTTCCTGTCCTCCTCCCTATCCCAATTCTTGACCCTCAGAGACAATGACTTCAATCTCTTTAGCTGCTACTTTCGCCTTTTACCTCGACATTCAGTATTCTTACATTGTAATTCTTTGCCCATTTTCATTAGGGGACATAATCTTTTGACTTCCTACCATGGAAGTTTAGGATTTAGTTCTTTTATACTACCATCTACACACAATTTCCCTTTTCATGTCCTCCTAGTAATATTTCCATGATGCTTTATAAAAACTGTTCCTTGCTGAGCCAGATAGTATACTGAAGTCACATATCCTTCACATCTTTGCTGATTAGATCTCCTTTTTTAAATTCTGTATCTACCTTTTTCTGAGTTTGCTTTATAGTTTTGGTGGAATACATCTTCTAGGAGGTACTTCAGAAAGGTTGGACAGTAAATTTTTTGTAACTTTACATGTCTGACAATGCATTTTTTCTACCCCCTCACTTAATTTTTAATTTGAACTAGATGTAAAATTCTAGATCAAAAATAATTTTCCCTCAGAAATTTGGAGGCATTGTCTCTATTGTCTTCCAGTTTCCTGTGTTGCAGTTATGAAATTTATTGCCATTCTGGTTCCCAGTCTTTTGTGTGTAAGCTGCTTTTCCTCTTTAGACGTCTTTATAATCAATCTACTCTTCATCCCTGGTGTTCTGAAATTCATATAATGGTATTTCTTTAGTGTGGATTTTTAAAATTCATTGTACCAGAAATGGGGTGGTCTCTTTCAATCCAGAAACTCATTTCTTCAGTTCTGAAAAAGTATTTTGCTATTTCTTCTCCATTTTACAACTGCTACTCTTTGGATATCTTTAACCTCTGGGTTCGTTGATTAATTTTTATTTTTTTCCTGTTTTCTAGGAACTGTTATCAACTATCTTCCAACCCTCTATTGCCTTTTTGTTTCTACCATTATTTTTAACTTCCTAGATTTTTCCTTGTTCTCTAATTATTTCATTTTTAAAAACTTTTTATTACGGAGAGTGTCAGACATCTACAGAAAGAAACAGAAAAATATAGAGAACCCCCATATACTCTTCTTTTACCTTCAGTATTTCTCAACTCATGATCAATCTTTTTTATCTGTGTTCTTCCCCTTCCCCTGTTTTGATATTTGAAGCAAATTTCAGACATTGTATAATTTCTTGCATAAAAGTTTTGGTGTGTGTCTCAAGAAGATCAGAACTCTTTAAAGAAATAATATAATTCTGTGATTATATCTGAAAAAAATTAATGTGCAGATGTCTGATAACTGTTCAAATTTCCAGTTGTCCCTATTGTTAGAATTCATTTTTCTTTCTACAGTTTGTTTGAATCAGGATCTATACTTTTCTATTTATATTGGTAGCTATTTTTCATGTTTAGAGTCTTTTCTTAAATTCTTGGGAATTCTTTGCTATCTTTCCCTCATTTAAGAGTGAGGTACCAAAAAGCTGATTGGAAGGGATTTTGTGGCAAGAATTTTCTGAATTCTCATTGGCTTCTTTTCCTTAAGCTTAGATTTTAGCTTTCTCTGATCTGCTGTGTGAGGTACCACTTGGTCACTTTCTGCTACTGCTGCTTCTCTTTTTTGTGAGTTTATGTGTAATTTTCCCATTATTGTAATTTCATTAGGATTTTTGAAAGAAAGTAGAAAGTAAAACATTAATGTTTAATTTGAAGTCTCTCTTCATTTTGAAGTTTCTATTAATACAATGAATGGGGTCAAAAAGAAGTCAAAAGTGTTAGGTTGAGTTTATAGGGACTCTTGTCCTAATAAAGTAATCTGTGGGCCTAAAAGCTTTTGTAAACTATTGATTAAAGCATTTGCTTAAATGTAATTCTAGACACACAAATAGCATTTCTTCTTATCCGTTCTCATGTTCAAGTCAAGTCGAGTTTAAAATCTAATAACTAGTATGTAATAAAAATTATTCCAGAGGAATGTAGTTGCTTTGCCAACATGAGTCAGTATTAACAACTTCTATTTCAGGATTTAGAGTTTAACCAATATAAAATTAGTGGTTCTTCTGGACCACTAATATCCTAATCAAAATTTTTGATGGTGGGATGATTTATATTTGTCACTACGTCTTTCTATACATAAAAGAAACCAGATTAGAGCTATTGTACAGACCTGTCTCCAACAAAAGGAAGGAATTCTTTAGTGAGTGAATCTTATTGTTCATTTTGAACTAAACAAGGTCTCATCAATGTTGCTTATAAGGAAACTATATGACAAGATAATCATAATAGAAAGAAAACCATCTGGTTCTAGCCTCTTATTTTATACAGAAGGAGGCAGAAATTCCCTGAACAAAGGATTTTACCAGGGTAACTCATCTAGTTATTAGCATGGCCACTAAACTATAGCTCTTAACTCCCAAGTAATTTTTTTATAGCAGTAGAATAATAGAAGAGTGATATACAGTAAATATATTGATAGGTATTTTTGATGCTTACTGAGCAGAAGAGTGATTTTTTTTTATATTTTAATTACATCTATAAATCAACAAATAAAATAGCCCAATATATAATGCATAAGATATTTGAATAAGTATCTATAAAAGGATATATGTGAATGGACAATAAACATGAAAATGTGCTCACCATGACTAGTCGTCAGGGAAATTAAATTACAACAAGCACTTCTGAGCAGAGGAGTGATTTTTAAATAATAAGCTTTGTATAATTACTGAAAGAGATAGAAATTTGAAATCTAGCTTTAAAGTAACCAGAACATAATCCAAGACTGTATGGGTAGTAAAGGAAAAAAGGGCAGTTTGGGGCTAGAGTAGAATAGAGTTGTCAGCAGACCTAGGTGATGAACCTCATTCACATAAATAGTAGAAAGGGCCTCTTGGACATGAGGCACCAGAGTAGTAGTGGTAAGACAAAATAATGCAATCAGAGATTGATAACTGAATTGATATATCAACAAAGCAAGGCAGGTAAAAAAGCTGTATTGATATCAAAGCAATTGATTCCTTTTCTGGTTTTGCATATTTTTAGTCACAGGCACCAAAATTTCCCATTTGGAGGTAGAAAACTGTTAGAATGGCAAATGTAGGATTTTTTTTAAGCCTTGTTTATTTTTTCCAGAGGGCTTATATCTGAGTTTTAAATATCAGTAGTCACCTTTAATTGACAAGGAAATCAACTCTCTGTTCCCACCCCTGCCCCCCCAAAAGACTCGCCCATTCTTTCTATTTAATCTTTGGCATAACCATGCAGTCTCTTTGGCCTGAAAAATAGAAGTTATGTGTGATTTGTCCTTATTACACAAGAGAAAAAAAAAACTTTAATGATCATTTTCAACTCTTACATCCATTCAGCTACCAACAAGAGTACTTATCAGATGATTAATCATCAGTTTACTTGTCTCATTCCCACCAGATTATGAGCTTCTTGAAGATTATTTTATTTGTATCTCACAGTGCCTGGCACACAGAGTTTGCTCAGGAAATATTTTGTTGGTAAAAGAGATCTTTGCTCACATACAGGGTCAAATGTAAATTCATCCTGGCATTCCAAATTGTCAGAAATCTGAATCCTCCCTACTTCACATCCTCCCCCACCCCTTCCTTCTCCCCCTTCCCCTTCCTTCCGGCCCTCACCCCTACACCTACCCCACCACCACTAGTTTCAACACTTATTAGATTCCTTCTTGCTCATCATGCATGCCTCCATGTCCTTGCTTGCACTGGTACTCTATACCTGGACTTTTCTTCTCTGTGTCCAATCCTTCTTGCCCATCTAAATTCTACTGTGAGAGTCCTAAACACCTCTTCACTCTAGCCTTCCTGTGCAAGTAAAATTCATCTTTCTCTTTTCTGAATTCTTGTAGTTCTTACTGGTGGTAATATATCATTTTATTGCTTTATCATATCCATGGTACTATAACTTTACCATATACATGGTGCTATAATTGAATATCTCTTATATCAGGCTCTGGGATATACAAACCTTATCTCAAATGGTCACACAGCCCCCAAAGATACAGTGGTGTTATCTCCATTTTATAGATGAAAGGTAATAGAGGCACAGAGATTTTAAGTAACTTGCTCTAGATTACACAGATCAGTATCCAGATTTTTCTAATTCCAAAAATCTTTACTCTTTTAGCTGCACCACAGTATCTCCTCTCAGTATCTCTGTTCTCCTGCCCCCCTTAAAATATACCTTTTGGGGTATATCTGTCCTTCACCTTGTCTGCCACATATTTTAGATGCTTAATGAATATTTGTTGACTTGAGTTGATATGGTTGATAGGGAGGGCTGTTTAAACCTATTTCATATCTTTGTGTTTTAATATTTCATTAGCATGCCACTTTTTTAAAGTTGCTTCTTTTTTGGCCAATTTTCATAACTTTGATCAAAAATCTGATGTTAAAGCCAACATCTAATATGTTCTCTATTTTTTTAATGTAGAACACAGGTTTTATAAATATATTCAACTTTTTCTGGTAATATAATTTAGTTAAAAAATTAGTTAATGTTGAAAATTTAAGGGTAATGAATAGTTTTATTTATACATATAATTTTATTTCTATGTGAATTCACACTTTTATACATATAAGCAAAATTTTATTTAATGTAGTCACCAAAGAGATTTTATTTCAAAGATTGTCTCTGGAAGCTATTGCAGTAGAGCCATATGTACAATATTTTATAGTTCGAGACCGTGTTCGGACAAAAATGGAACGTGATATCTTGGTAGAAGTTAACCATCCTTTTATCGTCAAGTTGCATTATGGTAAGTTATGAACAACCTCCTACTTCATCCTTTTACCTCATTCTCCCACCCCCTGTTTGCATGCAGATATACAAATGTATATAAATATTTACTTGTATATATTCATATATGTCTAGTAGATACAGTAAGTCATGGAAATTGAACCATTACTTCTTAGATAAATTTTAAAAGCTTTTATTGCATTTAGCTTCACGTTTCTTTTAAACATTATAGTTTCTGAGTAATAGCCATAGGAATGGATAATAATAATCATTTTTAAATTATAATAATTATAATAATGTGCCAATATTTTAGCCTAAATTAAAAGCAAGAAAAATCCCTAATATAGACATCCTGATGTTCTTATTATGTGTAATTAAAGCTAACCAGTCCACATTTTTTTTGTAGTTAAGTGACATGGTTTTTGTATTTTGTTTCATGGTTAAGTAAGTCTTTTCTGTTAGGAATTTTTCTTACTGACCACATGTTTTAGAACTATTGTATTCTTGAGAGACTATTGCCTGAATAAAATCTAACAAATGTTCTAGTGGTTCCATAATAAGAAACACTGCATTTAACATTTCTACATGAAAACTAAGAGGCATTGGTGATTAACTTGTAAATAAAAATTAGTTTAGATCTATGATATAGTCATTATTGCTAAAATAGTGTTTATTTGTGAATGTGTTGACTTAATGTGAGCCCCCAAAATTAAACTGTGAATTAAATGGAAATTTTTATTTTTTGTTTCAGCTTTTCAAACTGAAGGGAAGTTGTATCTTATATTGGACTTTCTCAGGGGAGGAGATTTGTTTACACGCTTATCCAAAGAGGTATATAATTAATCTCTATTTTAAATCTGTTTATATGCATCCTGTTTCAAGTAAAGCTTTGTTATGTTTCAATATTACGCTTATCATATTTTCTCAAGTGGCACACGATTCTTACATTGAAGAATCAGAGCCAAAAAGAGTTATTTTCCTAACTTTCAAATTTATTCTGAAGGTAGATTTTAAATTGATAGACTGTCTTTTGTCCTGCTTCTTTTAGTTTTAGGTTTTTCAGAAGCGATAATATATCAACAAATATCCTTGAACAATCAGTAGTGGAAATTCAGCATGCATTGTAAAGATCAGTTTTCATTCCTAAGATTTTATTATGGTGGTGCAACAGTGGCACAATCTGAATATAGTTATTACTTAACAAAATGTAAAATTATTTTCCGCACAGTGCATATTTAGCATTTAGTAAGTCATTAATTGGCTGGTATAATCATCTTTGCAAATATTTTCCATAAGTGAATTATAGAAGAAACTGCATCTAATTAACATATTTATAACTTTTAATATTTAAATTGTAGGATGGAACTTTAAACAAAAATAGTAAACACCAAAAGAAAATAAAGACAGAAAAATTATTTTATTTTAGGTGATGTTCACAGAAGAAGATGTCAAATTCTACTTGGCTGAACTTGCACTTGCTTTAGACCATCTACACAGCCTGGGAATAATCTATAGAGACTTAAAACCAGAAAAGTAAGGAATCTTGCTGCTAAGTTTAATACAATGTAATGTAATTATTTAAGTGGTAAAACAAAATAATGTTATTTCATAGAACTACCACAGACATTGAGTTAGAGTGCCTGTGCTTCACATTTCTGCTAACCCTCTGTATTCTCATACTTTTAAATTTCTGTTAATCAAAATATCTGTTCACGTTACCTTGTTTTCATTTACATTCAAATCTGTTCTCATAGATTTATTGGCAATTTGTCTTTTTGTGTGATTTTTCTGTTCATTGCCTTTGCTAGTTTTTCTTTTGGAGCATTATTTTTTTCTCATTGATTTCTAAGAGACCATTCTTTATAAGCTAAGATTTTACCATTTGACATATATTGTAGATATGCTTTTCTAGCTTATTTTAAAATTTTATATTAGTTTAACCTAAAGAAGTATTTTTTTCTCAGGTCAACCAATCTTTTGGGATCTCTTCTATGGCTTCTATTCTTAGGAGCAATAATTCTCTTAATTTGGCTAAATTCATGAGAATTTTCTAATTCTCATTATCAGATTTTTTCTTCTAATTTCATGGTTTCTTTTTTTTTTACTTTTAACTCCATCTAGAAAATTTTTGGTATGAGGGATGGCATGAAGCTAATTGTTTCCTCCAAATACCATTTATTGAAAATTTTCTTCTCGACATGATTTCACATTTTTAGTGTGAATTGAGCAAATTTTGCATTACTATAGTAGTGGTTACCAAGAAACTAATATTTAAAAAATTGCACACAGTTCTATGCTTTAATTTGTCAGTGTTTACTGTCTACCACTTTGAGCAAGAAAGGGTTTTTTTCCATCCTTTTTTTAAAGGATATAAACAAGAACCTTGTTCTATCAAGAATTTTTAAAAATAGTTTTATTGAGATGTAGTCCACATACTCCAGTGTTCATGGCAGCATTATTTACATTTGCCAAGATATGGAAGAAACCTAACTGTCAACCAATAGATGAATGATAAAAAAGATGTGTGTATTTCTCAGCCATAAAAAAACAAAATTCTGCCATTGGCAGCAGTGTGGATGGACTTGGAGGGCAAGTCCCTATGATGAAAAGGACATCTTTTTAGGGTGTTAGTTCTAGAAGGTCTTGCAAGTCTTCATAGAGCTATCAGCTTTTTTGGCATTAGGTTGAGGCATAGACTTATATTACTGTGTTGTTGAATGGTTTGCCTTGGAAACGAACCAAGATCATTCTGTCATTTTTGAAATTGCACCCAAGTACTACATTTCAGACTTTTATTGACTATGAGGGCTACTCCATTTCTGCTAAGGGATTCTTGCCCACAGTAGTAGATATAATGGTCATCTGAAGTAAAATCACCCACTGCCGTCCATTTTAGTTCACTGATTCCTAATATGTCGATGTTCACTCTTGCCATCTCCTGCTTGACCACATCCAATTTACCTTGATTCATGGACCTAGCACTCCAGTTTCCTATACGGTCTTGTTCTTTACAGCATCAGACTACTTTCACCACCTGACACATCACGGCTGAGCATTGTTTCCACTTTGCCCCAACCTCTCCATTCTTTCTGGAGCTATTTTTCTGATTCTTCATAGTACGTTGGACACCTACTGACCTCGGCACTGACCTTTCAGTGTCATATCATATTGCCTTTTCATACTGTCCATGATTCTTGAGGCAGGAATACTGGAGTGGTTTGCCATTCCCTCCTCCAGTGAACCACGTTTTGTCAGAACTCTCTGCCATGACCTGTCTGTCCTGGGTGGCCCTTCACAGCATGGCTCATAACTTCATTGAGATCCATGTGATTTTTTTTTTGGTTAGCTTTCTGTTATTTATCATAACCCATACTCAAGAGCACAATAAATATTCTTTATTTTTCCTTCTAAATTGTTTTCTGAAATCACAGGTTTGATTATCTCTGCCTCCCTTGCATGTAAATCTTTTATGATCTTCATTGCCCTTGAGAAGGAATCCAAAGTCTTTGGCATGCTGTATTGGCCCTTTACAGACTGGTCTCATTCATGCAATGTACATTTCTTATCTGTGCTCTACCAGACACTGAGCTACAAGATGAATAAGGTCAAAGTCTCAAGGAGCTCTCAGTTTACTGAAAAAGAAAACACTGGGTAATACCAATATACACAATAAAAGGATGAATCAAAGAAAAGCAAGGAGTGTGAGGAAGGTGTGTTGAAGAGAAGAGGATTGTGTAAGTTGTGTCAGAAAAAAAGCTAGGAAGGAATGACTAAGTCAGATGCTTTTTAAAAGACCAAGAAAATGACAACACATTTGGCTTAAATTTCCAGACCCCTTGTCTGTTGTTCAAGCACTAGGGAGTTTAATTAGGCTACCTATGCACAAAGGCACTGGAAAGAGCACCTTACAGGAATAGGTTTTAGTTCCTTTCCTCCTAGTTCTCAAGTGTCCCTGGCTTTTTAATACAAGTTTATATCACTTTGTCTTTGGGATTTGTTATATGCGTGTGTCCAAAAGGATAGTTTTTCTCCTCCTTTTCCTTTGCCTTCTTATTCGCAGTCTAAAGCAATGTTTTGGAATGACTATAGTGGTCTGATGCTTAATGAAGTAATTTCAGTTTTAGCTTCTAAAAATCTCTCTTTAGTGGTTTGGAAAGATTTTCTGACTTTGTTGTCTTTCAGCATTCTTCTTGATGAAGAAGGTCATATCAAGTTAACAGGTAAAAATCCTCATTTTGTTAAAATAGTCTCTCCTGCTCTATATAATTTCCTTTAAGGTTGATCATGATATAAATATTAAGTAACATATTGTGTTAAAAACTTGAAGTAGAATTTTTAAGTAATTAATGTAAATATTGGAACTATTAATGTGAACTTTGGAAGTCAACGTTTGAACTTTGTATGTGCAAATTATTGTAGGGTATTTATGAAGTTGGTGTTTATTTTCTCAGACTTTGGCCTAAGTAAAGAGTCTATTGACCATGAAAAGAAAGCATATTCTTTTTGTGGAACTGTGGAATACATGGCTCCAGAAGTAGTTAATCGTCGAGGTCATACTCAGAGTGCAGACTGGTGGTCTTTCGGTGTGTTAATGGTAAGGTTTGAAAGTTTTTTTGTATTTTTTTGAGAAGTTCAGTAGTGACTATAGTAGAAATATGTCACTTATTTTATTCTATAGCAATTTTAGAAGATTTGATTGTGATTAAAATGATCTTTTTTGTCTTTTTGATAAAATTTTATACTTACTAATCCTCTTATTTTTCTTTGTAGTTTGAGATGCTCACTGGTACACTACCTTTCCAAGGAAAAGATCGAAAAGAAACAATGACTATGATTCTTAAGTAAGTACACCTTGAGTGTGTATGTTTTGATGAGATTTAAAAATCAGTGCTTCACACTAAAAAATGAGATTTTAGAATGTTATAGTATAATAAGTAACTAAGAAATTTATTGATATTATGATATTCATATTATGTGGTTGAAATATGAACAAACCCATATAATTATCTTCATGCTAATATTGAAAGCTTTACCTTTGAGATTTGGAATATGACAAATATACCCATTATTCTGCTTCTGTTCACATTGTTCTGCAGGTACTAGCAAGTACAGTAAGGCAACCAAAAGAAGTGCAGTTTAAGATTTAGAAAGAAGAAATAAAATTGTCATTGAGAATTCCCTGGCCATCTAGTGGTTAGAACTTCAGACTTCCACTGGCAGGGACCCAGGTTTGATCCCTGGTTGGGGAACTAAGATTCTACAAGCCATATAACATGGCATGGCCAAAAAAAGAAAAAATGTCATTTAGTTAAAATGATTGTGTCCATAGAAAATGCATTATAAATCCTGGGTATTAGTAAGAGCTTGGTAGAGTTGCTGGATAAAGGGTCAATAAATAAAATCTATTTCATGATTGAATACTAGTGACAGAAAATGTAATTTTTTAAAAAAAGATTCTGTTTACAGTAGTATAAAAAATATCAAACCTCGAAATAAATCTAGAAGTTATTAAGAACTCAACGCAGAGAACTTAGAAAATGTATCAAGGTACTTCTTGCACATTGAGAAACCAGTACTCAGATAGTCATAGCAACATTACTTATAATAGCCAAAAGTTAGAAATTAGATTGTTAACAGAAGAATGGACTAATAAATTATGGTAAGTTCATACAATGGAATACAACAGGGATTGACTATCTATAAATATTTTAAACTTTGTAGGCCGCACACAGTCTCTATCAGATATTTGTATTGTTTATTCTTTTTTTCTAACACTTTTAAAATGTAAAAACCATTTGTAGCTCAAAAGCCATACAGAAATAGGCTGAATTTTGCCCATGGGTGTAGTGTGCCATCCAGGAAAGAAAATTAACAAACCACAGTTATATACAACTTGGGTAACCTCACAAGAAGGTTGAACAAAAGCAATTCAGATACAAAGAATGAATACTACATAGATGGTTCTATTTATAAAGTTTTAAAAGCAGACAAACTAAAACATAGTTTTTAGGGTCCATATTTAGATGGCAAAAGCCTGTGGCAGAATAAGGAAAGTAGTTACATTGGATGAGTGGTTCTGGAAATCTTATATTTCTTGGTCAGATGACTGTTCACTTTGTGGTCAGTCATTGAGCTGTGTACTTTGGTTTGGGGTTTTTATTTTGTTTTTTGCACTTTATGTTATCCTTATGATAAAAAGATGTTAAAAAGTATTTGCTATGTAAACAAATGTTCACTGAACCTTCATCACTCTTATCTACTCTGGCCCCTTCCTTTCAGCTAATACTCATACTCGTGTTGAAAAAATCAAACCATTTCTTTGACTTGGCCTTTTTTTTCAAGTTTCTGCAGCATCTTCCTGCATTCTTTCGATACAATGCCTCTTTAAAGAGTAGTCTATGCTTTTTGTTACCTTTTTGGCTGTTTTTATCATAACCATAGCCTGTTTGTTGTTCACTTCTATCACCCTGTTGAAACGTCTCTCACTATAGTCATCAGTAATTTCCTGGTTGCTCAAATTAGTGACAGATTGTTTGAAAGGTGACTCTTTGTATCATTTGTTCCCACAGTTCATTCAATAGATTAATGAGGTCTTGCTATATGTATGTACTTAGGATGCAATGTGAAACAAGACTGACAGGATCTTCTGTCGTCTCACAGAGTTTGCATTCTAGTGGGGGAAGCAAAGGAATTACTCTAAACAAATAAATATAATAATTTACTATAGTAATAGGAGCAGTGGGGATAATAAGCCAGGGTACTCTTGAAGTGTGAGGGCAGGAGTCATTTTAGGTGGGATAGTTAAGGAACGTCTCTCTGAGGAATATTTGACCCTGCTGGCCTCCTCCTCCCTACTTACTTTTTCCTACTTTTATCTGTTGCTCCCACCTCTCTAACCATTCCTGTTTTGGTCTCTTTTGTTTGACTATTCCTTCTCTGCCTGCCTTTGCGAAAATAGAATAATACAGTGAAGATACATATACAAATCAAGAGTCACCAGGATTTTGCTGCATTTGCTTTGTCTAGTCTTTTCTTTTTTTTTCTTCTTTCCTGAGATATTCCAAGCATTCCATGTCATTTCTCAGCTGCTTCAGTTTGCGTGGTAATATTCATCTAATATCAATCCTTAACCAGATCTTTCAGGTTTTCTCCAAAACTGTGTCCCAGATCAAGTTTGCACATTTCCTTTGGTTATATTTCTTAAGCTTTTGTTCATTTAGAACAGTGTACTCCTGTTTTTCCCCTGCCATTTACTTGTAGAAATTATGTCACTTTTATATCATTTCACTTTCTAAATTTATCTTGTCAAAAGATAAGACCACTTCTCAGTATCTGAAACAAAAAGTATAAGGGTGGTTCTTTTGCTTACTATAGTAAGGGAAAGCGATGGTGGTCCAGCAGCATCTCTCCAAGCATGGTAGACCACTGTTCTTATATAGGGTTTGGAGGAAGGGTGGAGTTCAAGAACTGGCAGGTTCTCAGGGCCTTAAGTGAGTTGACATCATCTGTAAGAGTGTGTTCCTTGGGTGGGACTGTTGGTACTCAGGTCTGGTTATTGGAGTTAGTTCATTCTTGTTTGGCTGATTTTCACAGATGAACAGAAGTTATTGAATGGTTGGTGTGCAAGAACAAAAAGGAAAGGCTGTTCATCTAGGCAAATCGTCTTTGATCAATTGACTGGTTCTGGTGACTTGTTACCATGGTTACATAACAATTCGTCTTTTCCCAGGAATGTGGATGTTTCTTAAATTTTCCTTGTGGTGTTTTTTCACTTATTCCTTTATCCCATTTTTGATTAAACTTTTTTGGCAAGATTATTTCCATAACTTGTGCTTTTGTACCCTATTACATCGTATCAAGAGACTTACAACACTGTGTTGCACCACTATATGTGATAAATTCTTGTGATTATAGCTGATCCCTCCATTGTTAAGTTCCATGTCAGGCTTTCATCTAATAGTTTCATCCATTGATAATCATTACTTGAAACAGTTATTTTATTAGGGACTTTAAATGGTGTATTTTCTGTTATTGTTATTTTTTCATTTATTAGCTGGTGTTTTCCAAAATGATAAACTTTTCTTCATCAGCTAGGGTTATTTAGTTATCTTGAAATTAGATTCAAACAAATGCAAAATAAATATTTGATTCTTTTCTTAATTATTTCCAATTGTCACAGCCCTAGTTACTTCCAGTGGGGGTGATGTCCATTGTGAGTTGGGTTTTTATGTTACTTTTGACTTTTTCTTTTTCCTTTTTTTTAAAACTATAACAAGCTCATGGGATTTAATAATCTGTTTGATTCAGCCAGTTGCAGTCATTACTTTTAATGCCCAAATTGTTCTTTTCCTGACCACCTTTTAAATGTTCTCGTTCCCCAGGGTTCCATCTCTGATGTGCTTTTCTTCCCCCCTGGACTGACTTTCCTGAGTATCAATCTTCCCAATAACTATTAAATATTTTAATTACTCCCAAGTAATTACTCCAATTACTCCACTCTTTCTTAATTTACCAGACACCAAACCTGTATTTCCATTTACTCACCTGCATGTCTCACCCAAAACAAACGACATGCATGACTTAACATTTTTAAGCTAAATTTATCTTTGTTCGCTGTTCTGTTCCTATTCTTGTATTCCCAATTAGCATTTCCATGCACCCTATTTCCCAAGCCAGAAACCTAGAATTCATTCTTAATTTCTTCCTCTTGCACTCACAGGTATTCACTAAATTCACTCTCAGAAATATTTCACTCTCCCAACCTTTCCCTGTATTGTACTGCTTATAGCTCTCAGATATCCTACCCATGGTGATCTCCTACCCACACTATAGGGTCAAGCTTCTAAGTAGAAAGCCCACTGCCCACCACCTTTTAGCACTCAAGATCATTCTGTACTTCCCTTGGCATTATCTTCTTGAAAATAAGTATGGTCTGTTAGTCCACTGTTTAAAGATCTCTACTATATTCGTGTTACCCAACACGGTGGTGTTTCCCCTTGTTTCAGTTGTTTAACATAACCCTAATTATATAAGATGTTAATAGGTATTGTCTGAAAAAGAGATGCTAAAAACAAATGTTCAGAAAAATACTGATTTCTTAACTCACACTTATCACCTTTCGTATACAACATATTTTATGTCTCCAGCATGGGGTATAATAGATGAGATTCCACAAGCTCATTGGATCATGAAATATTTTGTTGTTATTGCTTAGTGTCTAGAGAAATTAAATGTTATTTAGTAAAGTATTGAAGGCATACTGACCAAATGAATAGATTCTCAACCTTTAATTGCACTTAAGGCCTTTTACAGTCTCCCATATTAAAATAAATATCCCCTACGGTTCCCTTGTGGCTTAGTGGTAAAGAATCCACCTACCAAACAGGAGACATGGGTTTGATCCTTGAGTCGGGAAGATCCTCTAGAGAAAGAAATGGCAACCCACTCCAGTATTCTTGCCTGGGAAGTCCTATGGACAGTGGAGCCTGGCAGGCTATAGTCCGTGGGGTCACAGAAGAGTTGGACATGGCTGAGAGACCGAGCATGCACACATGTTCCCTTAGCGCGCTTCACATGTGCCCTGCTGGGTTTGCCTCTTACTGTACAAGAGTTATCTATACCCATCTTCGTCACTGACCATTGTGGGCTGTCGTTATGTGTATGCTCAGCTCTAAGCAGTGTCTAGCACACAGTAGCTTCAATAACAACTCGCTGAATAATAAATGGATCTATTTCTGAAATAGAAATTTCTCTACTAGCCATTTTGTCCATCTCTGTTATTATTTTCATACTTATAGGATCATTGGTTTCCTTAATTTGTAGGTTGAGAAAAAGAATAAAATTATATATTAGAGCTGAAACAGACCTTCAAGCTCATCCAAGCTAGTGGTTTTCAGACTGTACCACAGACATCTTAAATGTTCCACAGACCCCTTTCCCACCAGCTCCTCTTCCTTGCAGGGCTGTTAAAGGGAATGGAAGGGAAAAATAGGTATATGGAAACACATGTTCTCTTAGCAGTTTTAAATGTTGGATTTCTTAAATTCCTTTTGAGAAAGAGTTCCAAGTCTACCATTTGGCAACCATTAATCTAACATCCATATCCCCTTGCTTATGAAGAAGTGGTAACAGGCTCAGGGTGATTGGCTTTCCCAAAGTTACAGAGATCTTAGTAACAGATCCAGATGATCTTACTTTTACAGTAGTGCTTTTTTAAAAACTTCCGAAAAGTGAAAAAATTCATTACAAGATTTGGGCTAACATTCTATTATGTTTTCACACAAAAACCTTGACCGAAATATTCATAGCAGCTTTATTCGTGATACCCCAAACTCGACACAATCTAGATGTCCGTTAACCGGTAAATAGACAAACTGTGATGTGTCCTTGTCATGGAATACTACTTGGCACTAAAAAGGAATGAGCTATTAATACAACAGCTTGGATGGATCTCAAGGAAATTATGCTGCATGAACAGTGTTACATACTATATGGTTCCATTTTACATGGCATTCTTAAAATGATGAATTTATAGAAATGGAGATTAGATTATGGTTTCCAGAGTTTAGGAATCAGGGAAGGAGGGAGGTGGGTAGGGTTATAATGGAGGCACTTGAAGGATCCTGGTTGTTCAGTACCTTTGCTTTGGTGGTGGCTACAGGAGCTTAGAAATGTGATAAAATGTTATAGAACTTCAGCTCACACCTGTAAGAATGGCTGTCATCGAAAAGTCTGCAGATAACACATACTGGATGGGACTTCTCTGGTGGCCCAGTGGTTAAGACTTCACACTTTCATTGCCAGGGGCCCAAGTTCAATCCCTGCTCAGGGAACTCAGATTTCACAAGCCGCACAAAGCAACCAAATAAAAGTGTGTTGGAGAGTATGTGGAGAAAGAGGAACCATTATACACTCTTGGTGGGAACATAAATTAGTGCAGCCACTATGGAAACATTAGGGAGGTTCTTCAAAAAACTAAAATTAGAACTACCATATGATCCAGCAGTTCCACTCCTGGGCATATATCTGGAAAAAATGAAAACACTAATTCAAAAAGATATATGCACCCCAATGTTCATAGCAGCACTGTTTACAATAGCCAAGACATGGAAGCAACCCAGATCCCCCATTAACAGATGATTGGATTAAGGAGATTTGATGTGCGCACGCACATGCACACACACAAAATGGTTAGCCATAAAATAGAAAGAAATTCTGCCATTTGCAGCAACATGGATATGCTAAGTGAGACAGAGAGAGGCAAATACTGTATGATATCATTTATATGTGGAATCAAAAAATAATGCAAATGAATGTATATGTAAAACAGAAACAGACTCACAGACATAGAAAACACACAGTTACCAAAGAGATGAAGCAGGAGGGACAAATTAGGGGTATGGGATTAACAGATACAAACCAGTATGTATAAAATAGATAAGCAGCAAGGATATACTATATAGCACAGGAAATTATGGCCATTATCTCATAATAACTGAAAGTGGAATATAGTCTGCAGAAATACTGAATCACTATGCTGTACACCTAAAAATATTATAAGGTAAATCAATTCCAGTTTTTAAAATGACATAGAACTAAACACACAGACAAATAAGTGCAATAAAAATTGGAGACATCTGAATGAGATCAGTGGATTCTATCGATGTCAATATCCTGGTTGTGATATCGCAGTATAGTTTTATAAGATGTTACTATTGGGGGAAATTGGGTAAATGGTACATAGGATCTCTCTGTATTATGTCTTACAACGGAGTTTGAATCCACAATTATCTTATAATTAAAAGTTCATTTTAAAAATAAAATACAGATACCTCCAAAAAATAAAATGTTATTATATGGATTTATTATTTAGAGCCAAACTTGGGATGCCACAGTTTTTGAGCCCAGAAGCCCAGAGTCTTTTACGAATGCTTTTCAAACGAAATCCTGCAAACAGATTAGGTAAAATTCTTAATTTGTTTCTTTTTTGTGTTTATTGATGTTTGTTTTCTAGGGGGTGGATGGATATTTGTACTGTGGAATTATGAAGTAGTAGGACAGGTGTTAAAAGTGAAGACTAAATAAGCATTGTATATCTATCCTTGAAATAAAATTGCTATTTAATCAAAGCTAATTAATTTTCGATAGGTGCAGGACCAGATGGAGTTGAAGAAATTAAAAGACATTCATTTTTCTCAACTATCGACTGGAATGTAAGTATAGAATGAAAACTTGCTTGAAATATATTTTTTAAATAATTAACACATGACTAAGGCTCTCTTTTTCCCCCTCCAGAAACTGTATAGAAGAGAAATTCATCCACCTTTTAAACCTGCAACTGGCAGGCCTGAAGATACTTTCTATTTTGATCCTGAGTTTACTGCAAAAACTCCCAAAGGTAAGGAGAAAATGTGAAAACCCAAATATAAGACAATCTATATATTTTTTCTTGTTCAATCAGAAAAGCTTATCTAATATAAATCTTTATGCTGTCCTCATTTCTCCCCTTCATACAATATCCCTGCTGCAATAACTAGATCATTATTAAATCCTTTATAGCATGTTATAGAAATTAAGGTCCTTGTTAAATCTTTTAGCAAATTATGTTGTGCCTTATACAGATTTGAAAACATCATTTGGTTGTGCATTTATTTACTTGTAGCTATGTTCACATTAAGTACTCTAGCATAAATAGTGCTCGTGGAAATACTTGTAAAGTTCAAATCCCAAACATAGCTTAAACTTTATGTGAGGTGTGTTAACTTCAAAATTATTCATATCCTGTATTACTACTGCTACTGCTAAGTCATGTCAGTCGTGTCCGACTCTGTGTGACCCCATAGATGGCAGCCCAACAGGCTCCTCTGTCCCTGGGATTCTCCAGGCAAGAATACTGGAGTGGGTTGCCATTCCCTTCTCCAATGCGTGAAAGTGAAAAGTGAAAGTGAAGTCGCTCAGTCATGTCCGACTCTTTGCGACCCCATGGACTGCATCCATGGGATTCTCCAGGCAAGAGTACTGGAGTGGGTTGCCATTGCCTTCTCCATATCCTGTATTAGGATATCCTAAAATTACTGTTGTAACTGTTATAGAGAAGTGATCTTTTGAATGGTAAGCTATATTTCATTAATTTATATGTGCATTATACATAACGGTGTGTTTTACACTTTAATATTCTCTTATTTAGGTGTATCAAATCCCAGGTTTATCACTGACAAGTAAATAAATAGAAAATGTATTTGTGTGTATCATTTAAATCTGGCTATAAAGCTTTACAGCCAAAAAGCCTGACAGTCTATAATATTAGCATTGAAGGGTGTTTATTTTTATAAGGCAGTCTTAGAAATTTGGATTAATACATGAATAGAATTTTATCAAATGCATAGGCAATGGTATGCATAGAATTGATGATACATGGAAGTATTTTACTTTGCTTTCTTAATACAAGTTATTTTGATAGAGGGAAAATCTTAGAATAGAGCAGTTCTGTCTTATGTTCTGCCCAGATAGGTTCTCTTAGCAGACGTCTTCGGTATAGTGGGGCTTCCCTGATAGCTCAGTTGGTAAAGAATCTGCCTACAATGCAGGAGACCCTGGTTCGATTCCTGGGTTGGGAAGATCCACTGGAGAAAGGAAAGGCTACCCACTCCAGTATTCTTGGGCTTCCCTGGTGGCTCAGCTGGTAAAGAATCCTCCCACAATGCAGGAGACCTGGGTTTGATCCCTGGGTTGGGAAAATCCCCTGGAGAAGGGAAAGACTATCCAGTATTCTGGCCTGGAGAATTCCATGGGGTTGCAAAGAGTTGGACACAACTGAGCAACTTTCACTTTCAGTATGATACTGCCACATTAATGTAAAATTCACTAAATATATATTGCTGAAGATATCAAGCTGATATTAAAAAGAATTTTATGTGGAGTTGGTGTTTAAGTGGATATATTTGTTTTTTGCTTGCCTGTAGCCTTTAGAGTATATTTATAAATATTAGTATGCCTAGTTGGTTTTTTATATTTATGAATAACACATTTATTATACTTTTATTATTTCTTTTTATAGTGAACATTAGCTGTATTGTGAAAGTATTTTTCTGTTTTTGTTAATACCAATAGATTCCACAGAAATAGTTTGAATAAGTATACATGTAAATATCGTAAAATACATTTTAAGGACTGCATACCATGATTGTCCTAGGATATATATATATATATATAATTTATATATATACATTTGATATTTTATATATTTAGTAATTTTAACTGGAGTTTAGATTTCTAGATTCTGACGTTATGTCTTGAGACCACTGGACTAAATTTTGTTTCTCCTAAATTATCTGTAGATGAACCTTGTGTCTCCCTCTAACCAGGAGCTATAGCATTGTTAGGTTATTATTTAGAGCTGGACTATCCGATATGGGCTTCCCTGGTGACTCAGAGGGTAAAGCATCTGCCTGCAATGCAGGAGACCTGGGTTCGATCCCTGGATCGGGAAGATCCCCTGGAGAAGGAAATGGCAATCCACTCTTGCCTGGAGAATCCCATGGACAGAGGAGCCTGGTAGGCTCCAGTCCGTGGAGTTGCAAAGAGTCGGACACGACTGAGCAACTTCACTCACTCTCACTCACTCATCTAATATGGTAGCCAGTAGCAATATGTGGCTATTTAAATTAATTAAAATTAAAAACTTTGTTTCTTAGTCACACTAACCACATCTCAAATTCTCAGTACCTGCGTGTGGCTAGAGGCTACCATATTGGGCAGCGCAGATAAAGAAAATTTCCATCACTGTAGGAAATTCTCTGGGACAGTGCTAATATAGAATAACAGTAACCCAGTAATTTATTCATTTAGTATATTCTTCAAATGAATTAGCTATTTTCTGGGCTCTAAGGGACTAGGATGTCCTAGTTGTGATGGCAGTAAGCCATCAGGACAGTTCTGATACAGTGACTCACTGAGTTATCCTGAAAGCACTGAATACCTGAGAAGTGGAGTTCCAGAATAAGTGAGAAAGGTAATAATTTGGACAGTTCTTCCCTTAATTACCTTTCAAAGCAGTTGCCTTCATAGTAATTTATTATTATTTTCAGATTCACCTGGCATTCCACCTAGTGCTAATGCACATCAGCTTTTTCGGGGGTTTAGTTTTGTTGCTATTACCTCAGATGATGAAAGCCAAGCTATGCAGACAGTTGGTGTGCATTCAATTGTTCAGGTAAGTGAATGTTTAAGTAATTTTAAATTTGAAATGTTGTAAGATATAGTTCACTGTGTGAATAATTATGTTAGATTTGATCTGCTGACTTTAAGTGAGCAGCTTAAAATGCATTGTATATCATTGACCCTTAGAAATTTCTTTCATATGCCTTTGAAAAGGTTGTATGTGCCAAAATCCTGGATACCTATCTGACTTGAAAGTGAAATTCTAAGAGAGTTGAAATCGATATCACCATCTTGTCTCTCTTGTCTCCTGTGCCTCAGAATGTTTATCAGGCCTTGTTTGTTTCATCCTCTCTCTCTATTAGATCAGATATGATGAGCTGAGGTCTCCTGTTTCACTGATGTTTTATAACAGGGGTCAGCTGACTTTTTCTATAAGGAATAGATGATAAATATTTGAGAATTTGTAGGCTATATGGATCTCTATTGCGACTATTCAACTCTGCCATTGTAGCACAAAAGCAGCCATAGAGTGTCCATAAATGAATCAACATGGCTGTGTGCCAATAAAACTATATTTAGAAAAACTAGCTGTAAACCAGATTTGGGCCACAGACCATAGTTTGCCAACCTCTGACATAGAAGTAGATAAGAAATAAAAATGAACTTAAACTTTAAGTTTTCCAGGTTTGTGTCTTTATTCTTTTGGAGCCTGCATTGTCATTAGGAAGAAATGCCTGTGGATGCTGCCTTAGGGTGCCCCCTACTTCCCTTTTCCCCTCTGTTGATTAGTGCAGGAGAAAAAGGAGTTATAGAAGCAGGTTTCTGAGTGGCTGTGAGAGTGTGTGTCTGTGTGTGTGTAACAGGAAACTGCACTACTAAATTAAATATCATTAGAGGAACACAAGTAGTTCAAACCATTAGATTTTATTTCTTCCCATCCTAGTATCATTGAAAGATAAATTTAATTCATCTTCCTAATCATAGAGGGAACTAGATACATCTTTTGAAACATTGAGCTCTTTTTAGGGTATAATTAGTGCTTGAATTTGCCTGATGATTAAATTGCTTTTCACTTAAGTTTTTTTTTTCCACAAGTCAGTCCTCTTGCTTTCCACTTTCTAGAAAATCAATTTAAACACTGTTTGTTTGTTTGTTTTTTAACAAAGTTCATGTTTATTTAAACATGTCCCTTTTACTATGACAGGCATGTGATGTATGGTAAGTTTCTAAATCAAAACTTCTGTACATAACATAGAAATCATAAACATTTTTTCTGTAGAATTCAAGTTTTAACCTGTAGGTATGCTGAGGGGTGTCTTCAATACTATAGGCAAGAGCAGAACAACTCCCCTCAGTCTGTTTGTAGAACTAGTAATTTGCTGTTCATCATCCTACCCATTATTATTAGTCCTCAAGCCATTAGCAGCTTCTCTAGACAGAGTCGTAATGAAGCTATGACTTGAGGGTAGAGAAAGGAGGGCATGGCTAGTGATAGTCCAAAGTGACAATAAAATAAGTATCACCTTCAGATATATTATTTTCTATAATCCTCACCTTCTGAGAATACACAAGTTCAAGGGTACATGGTCTACAAGTGGTGCATCTAAGACAAGAATCCAGATGTTCTAATTCTGAATCTTTCTGATCTTTTCTTCTACACCAGAGGTTTCAAACATCTCCCCATTTGCTTCAAAGACATGTAGCCGTTTGGATAGTAGAATGGGTAATGATCACAGGCAAGGCTGTCAAAAACCACGTAGCTCTGCGTTTTTTGTTCTACATATTCAGTTTTCTCTTTTTAAGATAAGCTTTTTAAAAAGGAATATTTCTTGCTGTACATTTTATCATAGACACATCTGAAATACAAAGTTGTAGAAGAATGACTGCAGTTAAGATTCACTCTTAATTTTACTAAATTCATTTACAGTGCATGCTGATGTTTCCCTATTACATAACGTACCAAAGTCATTACAGAGCTCTTTATCAACTTATAATTGTGTTTGTAGCAGTTGCACAGGAACAGTATCCAGTTTACTGATGGATATGAAGTAAAAGAAGATATTGGAGTTGGCTCCTACTCCGTTTGCAAGAGATGTATACATAAAGCCACAAACATGGAGTTTGCTGTGAAGGTAAGTGTTTTTAGATTTAAAATGCAATTCTAATACTTATAAGTAAGAAAAAGATCTGAAGGGATGTACATTAAGATATGAATAGTGGTAAATATTCGTAAATATTCAGTGAATAAAAATGTGATGTTTTTATTTTATTTTGCTTTTTGTGTTTTAAAATTTTCCACAATGCACATGTATTGCTTCTGTAATAATAAAGTGTTATTTAAGAAATAAAAAATAAATAAAATGTAACTCTAACAGTTCTTATTCATGCATGCTAGTACCAGTTAAAAATTACACTCTGCTTTGCTAAGTGTGTCCTCTGTTATAAAAAGGTAAGGTAATTTAAATGTCTAACTAGTGATCTTCAGGATCTTAATCTGGAACCATAGATTCCCCTGTAAGCTCAAAAGATAAGGCAGCATACATACAGTTTGAGAAAGGCGGTACCAGTTTTCACCTGACCTGGTTTTTAGTATCATGCCTTTTATTCTCAGAAGTCCCCATTTATAGTCAAACTTTCAGGGAGTTCCTTGAAATTTTATGCTGGATTTTGTATGTGTCTATTTTTATGGCAAAAATATTGATACATCCTTCACATTTAAAAGGATCTGTGAACCAATAAAAGAATAAGAACAAGTGTCATAAAATACATCATCATTAGCTGTTTTAATTTAGTTAAGTGTTCTAAGACAATAAGGAATTTCTTAGCCAAAAATCAAGACACATGCCTCTATGAGGAAGTTTGAGTCCAAACCCGGACTTCCCCAGTGGTCCAGTGGTTAAGATTCTGCCCTTCCACTACCAAGGGCACAGGTTCAATCCCTGGTCAGGGAACTAAGATCCTGCAAGCTGCATGGGTGTGATCAAATAAGTAAATAAATAAAAGTAAATTTTAAAAAATAAAACAAAGCCTCCCAATGTGTTCTGGTTTTCACAAAACTAGTGCCAAATCATTTCCTTTGAGTTGGCATGTCTTTCCCCTGTATCCTTCCTCTTAATCATCCATCTGCCTGATTCCACACTATCATTTGCAGTTGCTCACAGTGAACACTTGTATGTTTGTCTTCCCCATTCTCCAAATAAAGAACTGTTTTCACAAATAAGTCCATTTCAGATAGCAGGTTTGGCTCATATTGAGAGTTACAAGCTCTTCCTAGGATGATGGAGCATTTGGGTATTTATTACATATGTTAATTACTCAACTGTTTTAAAACTGAAAGTATGAAGATCACAAAATTTGTTTTAGACTACCTTTTGGATGAAATGAAAGCAAAACTTGTTGCCTTTTAAAAAATAGAGTACTGCTTTAACAGATTAAAACATTTAGAGGAGTATTCTGAAGAAGCAGCTGACATAAAAGGGTTAGAAAGCTAAATTAGTATTTTAAAGGGCTTTATTATAATAATTAAACTTAATTCTAGCCAAGTAGAATTTCTAGGTATGGTATTCTGCTTAGCTTTCTGCCTAGCTTCAAAAATAAGCTTGTTCTACTTAACTGTTAATTAATTTTTTATAAGTAGCTTACAGCTAATGGGATAGTCCATTGAAGCATTTTATTTAAAAAAGTAAAGGTAATCCACTAACTGTATTGAATTACAATAAACAAACTCTGGTGGTGGTTTTAAAGATAAATCTTGCTCTTCTTAATTATCTATATTGATAGAGGCTAGAAGTTAACTGAGTTCCCAAAGGTCTTAAGACATTTAAAAATGGAAGAAAGTTATGTTAACTGTGTTCTTGGTACCTTTTCTTAGGCTTTTGAGCTTTTGTTAAATCCTAAACTTGTTACAAACTTAAACTAGACAGACATGATGTGAATGTGACTCAGGACATAGAGTTTATGGCCTTACCATCTATATCAAGACCGGCATTCAAATTTTGATTAGACAATTTGGCCAGGTACTTGAGTAAAAATTGTTGATAAGTGGCTTATAAATACAGTGTTTACACAAAATAACACCTAAGTCTGTAGCTGTAAATACTTGAAGTTTATACTGTATAGTTTATGAAATTTTATGATAAATATTTGCCTTTTAGATTATTGATAAAAGCAAGAGAGACCCTACAGAAGAAATTGAAATTCTTCTTCGTTATGGACAGCATCCAAACATTATTACTCTAAAGGATGTAAGTAGATTCTTTTAACATAGATCATTTGAATCAGTTGTCTAACTCACATTTGGAATCATGTGTTAGACAAAGAACTCGATATAGTGAGCAAAAAAAACCAGAGGACAACATACATAATTCAAGTTACAGAAAAAAATCATGTGTATAGTTAATTTTTCTGCCTTTACTTTAAGAAGAAAAGTATTAATGATATTATTGCTCTTAACATCAGTATTTACTGGAACACTTAGGTATTAATTATATTCAGGTTGGACTAAGTCAGGCTCTGGCTGTGTGTGTGTGTGAGTCACTCAGTCATGTCTGACTCTTTGCAACTCCATGGAGTGCAGCTCGTCAGGCTCCCCTGTCCATGGGATTCTCCAGGCAAGGTTACTGGAGTGAGTTGCCATTTCCTTCTCCAGGGGATCTTCCGAACCCAGAGAGCAAACCCAGGTCTTCCTCATTGTGGGCAGATTTTGTACCGTCTAAGCCATAGGGGAGGCTCTGTAGGCCCCCCAAACTGTCTTCCATAGTACTGCCAGAGGGAGCTACCACTTCTGTGGAAGTAACCATGTTACTTTCCTGCCTGAGTTCAGGCTGCCCATCACCTCTGCTCCCTGCCTTCCTCCGTCTGTAGTGTTCACACTTCCTCACATACCCCATGCTCCAGCCATGCTCAAGTATGTCCTGCCTTCCTCCGTCTGTAGTGTTCACACTTCCTCACATACCCCATGCTCCAGCCATGCTCAAGTATGTACATTTTTTTTTATGTTTTCTTCTACTGCTCTTTCTTTTATATGATTCCCTCTGTTGGGAATACCGTTTCCCTTCTTTGCCTGGCTAATTACCACAATCTAAGACTTAGCTAAGGCATTACGTCCTTCAGGCTTCCTATTCTGCCCACCACCACCCCCAAAACAAGTGAAGTTTCCCTCCCTGCTACCATTGGCTTTCGTCATAACAGATATGTTGGCAAAGGTTGCAAACTCCCCAGGCAGCATTAAGTCCTCTCTTGCTGATCGTGCTCATGTGGTCTTAGAGGCCGTGTCTGGGTATTATAGACCAGAAATGTCATGTAGCCAGCTCAGCCAGAGGACTCCTAAGGTACCTTTCACCTCTGAGATTTTGTGAATTCCAGCGTTTATCCCTCCTTCTCCTTCCTAACTGAAACTCCAGTTTCCTCAGAATAATGTATCACTATTCATTGTTAGAGGAGGTTAATATAATCCATTAAAATGTGAAGCTGTTTCACTTAAGTGACTCTTTAATTAATATAACCTCCAAGAATCCAACCAAGTACATTAAAAAGGAAATGTAGAAAATATTGAATACTTAATTTCAGTCTTGCCTGGGGAATTCCATAAGCTATTGCTATTTTTTATATCTTTGCTCCTTCATGTCAAATTCCAAAGTCTCTAAAATGATCCCCACTTTTGTTACAGCATCGCCAACATTTTTTAAAACTCATTTCTATGTCTGTTTCTCCTTACTAGAATAAAAACTTTGAGGACAGGTACCTTGTTTTCTCCATATTTGGGGCCCCAGTACATGGTATCTGTTAGGGAGCTAAACAGAGCTGTTCAGTAACTCTATGAGAAGAGGGGAATAAAAAGGCATGAAGTTTAAGGAGAGGGTTATTTCAGTTTGGGATTGCCTAGAGTATAAATCCAAAATTACGTTGAGCTTGCTTTTTCTATATTAGAAGTGAATTGGTATGCTTCTGTATGGTTGAATGGAATTTCTCTTTGCTACTTAATCTTCCTACTTAATTCTTGCCACAGTTTGTCTTTTAATTTAATCAAAATCAGAATAATTCACTGTACTGTGCATATAAATATAGAAGTTCTGCAGTTGTAGAAGTTCAAGGAAAATCTCAATCACATGTCTTTGTAGCAGTCCCTCTCATCATTAGTAGGTAGAAAGATCAAGAGGAACACACCCTAAGAGCAGAAGTTCAGTGCCCCTTCACATTCCATACCCATAGCTATTTTGATTGCCTTGAGTTAAGCTTCACGGAAGGAAATCAGAGGTTATTTTTCTGACAGTATCTCATCAATTCCTATTTTAAAGTTTTTATGTGTATAAAATTGTTTATAAATTTTATATCCTTCATTGGTTATGATAAGTAAAATTTTCCTTGAATATAAATTGAGTTTTAATTTCTCTTTACTAAACTTCATGCTGAGCACATGTAAAGCTTCACATAACTTTTTGCATTTTTGGTATTGAATTTTACAGGTGTATGATGATGGAAAATATGTGTATGTAGTGACAGAACTTATGAAAGGGGGTGAATTGCTGGATAAAATTCTTAGGCAGAAATTTTTCTCTGAGCGAGAGGCCAGTGCTGTCCTGTTTACTATTACCAAAACTGTTGAATATCTTCATGCACAAGGGGTAAGTATTTTTAACATTTTATTAACCTAATGTATATAAAACACCTTATGAAATTTGGTATAAAATACTAAATACCTTTTTTCTTTTTCACTCTTAGTGTTTGAGCTGAAATTACAAAGATAGAAGTTAGTTTATGCATGTAAAGAAAAATAACTATATTACGTTAATTATGCTGCTGTTTTTCCACTATGTAGATTTCTCCCATTGAGCCTGAAGTTCTACTTTGAAATTTTAGCTTGTTAATAAACATTAAGTTCTTACACTTCCCAAGAAGTACGTGAGATTTTGTGACCTAGAAAACAGCACCACTTTTGCTAGGCCACTGCATACTCTTGAGAATTGGGCCCATTAAGAGTTTAGACAGGAGAAGGCAATGGCACCCCACTCCAGTACTCTTGCCTGGAAAATCCCATGGACGGAGGAGCCTGGTAGACTACAGTCCATGGGATTGCTAAGAGTCGGAGAGGACTGAGCGACTTCACTTTCACTTTTCACTTTCATGCATTGGAGAAGGAAATGGCAACTCACTCCAGTGTTCTTGCCTGGAGAATCCCAGGGATGGGGGAGCCTGGTGGGCTGCCATCTCTGGGGTTGCACAGAGTCGGACACAACTGAAGTGACTTAGCAGCTTAGCAGCAGCAGAGTTTAAACAAGAACCAGAGTCATAGGTTGTATTCACTTGTAAAAGGAAATCCTTCAAACAGACTAGGCCAAAGAGCCACCGGTATTCCTGCATACAGATTTTTAGTAAATGGCAAAAAAAACCCCAAAAAACAAAACAAAAAAAACCACCATATTTTTTAAAAGAAGTGAGTGTGGGAGGGAAGAGGAACAAGAGAGAGGTGGGGAGGGGGAAGAGGGAGGAAAGGAGAATAGCAGAGAAGCAAAGAGGAATGGGAGGCAAGAAAAGAATAACAGACCTCTTCTTAAGGAGTTTATTTTCAATACATTATTCTTGTTTTCTTTGTCTTTGCCCCTAGAAGCTAACAAGTGAAATGTGTTCATTTAATTCTAGAGCTTCTTCACTTGTAGCTGCTCAAGATTTGCTTATTACTGTGACTAGAAACTAATAGAACTCAGTTTTCACTGAAGAATTTGTGACTTTGCAGTCATCTAACTCTTCTGTGTTCTTTTCTTAGTGCCTCAGCAGTAATTAGTTATTAAAATAATAACTGGTCTGGAGAAGTGAAGTTCTGGATGTTAGGACGTGAAACTGAGGTTACTGATTAGAACATAAACTCAGAACTGGGTGACAGAAGAAACACATATGTCTAATAAGGGGCATCAGAGAGACTTAAGATAAAAGAAGTATTCCAGTAGATGATTAAATGGAGAAAGTAATACAGAACTCTAAAGGAATGGTATCTTTCTGTGTGTGTGCCATTGTTGCTTGGATATCACATAGGCAGTACTTAGGTAAATCTGGATTTTTGTTTCCTTTTTGTACTTAAACCCTATGCCTATTCCATTAAGCCTGTCCGAATATTTATTGTGTTCATCCATTGTACACACCATTCACTCTACGTAGAAAGACTACCCCGACTTCTCTGGCTTCTACATTCAGTTCTTCAGATCTTAAATCAGTTGTTAAATCCTCTGGAGACCCTTCCTGAGCCTCCTGAGTTGTGCCCTGTCACTCACCTATTTATTCTCTGCCTCCCTTACTACTGGCATGTAAAGGCAAGGATCTTACAGGTCTTGTTCATCAGAGTATCTGCAGCTCCTTGTATAATACCCTGGTACATGATAGATATTCAATAAATATTTGTTGAACGATGAATAACTTGGAGACAGATATTACTGCTATTTGCATTTTTCCTTAATCCACTTAATTGGACAAAGTGAGGGAGGGGGGTAAATACTGTTCTTTCTTCCTCCTTTCCTTGCCACAGTTCTGTGTGAGAGAGTTATACTTACACTATCAGTATTTTATACTGTTAGAATAATGTGAAGGTCACTACCAATCATCTTGTTAAGTTTGTGATAAATAATTTTCCATAATGGAGACATATTGTTAATGTACCTCTTTAATTTGTATTTCAACTAGGTGGTTCACAGAGACTTGAAACCGAGCAACATTCTTTATGTGGATGAATCTGGAAATCCAGAATCTATTCGAATTTGTGATTTTGGCTTTGCTAAACAGCTAAGAGCAGAAAATGGTCTTCTCATGACTCCTTGTTATACGGCAAATTTTGTTGCACCAGAGGTAATTGTGAAAGAATTTGCTTGCAATATTTCAGTATATTTAAAGACTCATTTGCTTTGTTTTGCCCATCTTCCCTGGTAGCTCAGCTGGTAAAGAATCCGCCTGCAATGCAGGAGACCCAAGTTTGATCCCTGAGTTGGGGAGATCCCCTGAAGAGGGGGGATCCCTTCCAGGGATCCACTTCAGTATTCTTGCCTGGAAAATTCTTTCCTGATACTCTTTGAATTTCCTGATTTTTGTCACCATCTTCCTATATTTCTAAAGCTAAAACATCATGGTCTTTTCTTGTCTTTAACTTTGTGGCCAGTTAGCATCTCTGTTATCCCCTACAACCAGTTTGGGCTTCTTCTGTTCACAGACCTGCCTTCCTAGCCCCTGCTTCCTTCACTACACCCTGAGGTGACTGCCACAGCCTAGGTGCATGGCGTCCCTTTTGTCATTGTCTGATCAATCCACAAGATGTTGCAAAGCTGCTGAAGTCTTCCTCAAGCACTGCTTTGATCAGGTTGCTTGTTTTCTTAAGAAATTGCAGTTCCCCATTATAGCATCTCTAAAATCCACTGCTTTGCCCTCAAAATTTCTTGCCTTTGGATTATCACTATGTAAAGTATAACTACAAGCAAGATAATAAAAAATAATAGTTAATCCTAATATAAGGCTTGCATGTCAGGTACATATGTTAACAGATTTCATCCTCACAGCTTTAATTTGGGTATAATAATTTGTTCTCATTATAACTATGTGAGGTGAGTACTTTTATTTGCATTTTAAAGGAAACAAGGTGCACAGTGAGGGGTGATGCCATTTGCCTGAGGTCAGATCTAGATTTGAGCCCAAGCAACCCGGCTACAAAGTTTGTGCTTTACCATGTACTAGATATTTCACAAAAATGATAATAGTTGATAACGTTAGACTAGTTGGATTATAAATTTGGATTCCCCCCTCTGTTTTCCAAACTTTACTTTTTAGATAAAAAAAATTTTTTAAGATTATTTGATTCAGTTCTCCCAGTGATACTAGAACTGATGAGGGACAGGTTTTTTTCCTTTATTTGTTGACATATCCACAGCCTCTGCCACTCACTAGTGTTCAAGCATGACCCCCTAATCCAGCCATCTCATTTTTCCTCATGATTGTTTCCTACTTCATATAAGCAGTCTGCTTCTTGGAATCACCATGTAGCTTTTATGCCTTGGCACATTGGAATGTTTTTTTGCTTCAGATCCTGCCTCTAAATTCACCTTCAGGAAATCTTCTGTGATCAAACTGTCCTTAGACTGACCTCTTAACTCTTCCCGAAATCCTCCTCCTGTACTGTTTCTCCACATTCAGTGGATCACCAGATCCTTTCCTTTCTGATTCCTAAATATTTTAGACCTTTTTTCCCTTACCATGTATATCCAATCTTTACTGAGTCCTTCCCATTTTATCTTTATGTCTTTTCCTCTTCATGTCCTGTTTTAGAACAGACCCTCACAGCCTTTCACTTAGTTTGCTACAAATTGTCTCCAATGAGGTGGCCTTGTGTCCATTCTCTCTTCTTGCCAGCATTTTCTCTATACCTTGGGTTATCTTTCTGGTATACACATCCACTTATTTTATTTTCCTCTTTAATGCTTTAGTGACATCTGATTGCCTGCAGGGGAAAAAAAACACACCTAGATTCCTTAACAAGATATTTATAAAAAACTCTTCAGGGAATTTCCTGGTGGTCTAGTAGTTAGGACTTGGTGTTTTCACTGTTGGCGCCCAGGTTTGATCCCTAGTTGGGGAACTAAGATCCCAGAAGCCACGTGGTGTGGCCAAATAAATAATTTAAAAAACCTTTAAAAGACCACTTCAAAAAATAAAAATTAAAAAAATAAAAGACCACTTCAGTCTCTCTATAGAATCCCCTGTGTGGAAATCTGGCCACACTGAACTTACATGTCGCTAAGCAGGCTCTGCTCTCTTGCCCCTGCTCTCTCTCACCTCTTGATTTTACCTCCTAAATTCTTCCTTATCGGCCCAATACAAGCAGGCTGCCTCCAAGCCTTCCCTCTCTCCCCATATCAAGAGTGAACTGCTTCATCTTTTTTTTTTTATTATTAGTAGGAAGCTAATTACTTTACAATATTGTAGTGGTTTTTGTCATACATTGACATGAATCAGCCGTGGATATACATATATTCCCCATCCCGATCCCCCCTCCCACCTCCCTCTCCACCCGATCCCTCTGGGTCTTCCCAGTGCACCAGGTCCGAGCACTTGTCTCATGCATCCAACTTGGGCTGGTGATCTGTTTCACCCTAGATAATATACATGTTTCGATGCTGTTCTCTTGAAACATCCCACCTTCGCCTTCTCCCACGCTTCTTCATCTTTATACCCATATCCTTAAAACATAGTTTTGTTAAAAAACTTATCATGTTGAATTAACTACATATATGTTTATTTCCTTTGCAAGATTCTGATTTTCTTATAGAAAACAGTTGCTTTGTATTTGTGAGTTTATGCCTGATAATAGTGATGATTAAATCTTGAGTGTGTGTATATATATATATACATATATATATAAATAAAAGTACAATTTTGCCCTATACCATTTATAGTCTTATATTTTCTTTGTTTTGTTAATTATTTCTGCAGCCCCTTACAAAATATAAATACATTTAAATAAGAAATTTACCTTCAGTTTATTTTTATAGTCCTCTGTGTGCCACAGCAGCATTTGATAAATTAATCTGAATATCAAAATTTAAATTTATATATATGAAATATTAGTAGAAGTTTCTAGAAATAGTATTACTATATTGCCTTGTTTGTTAATCATGCTCTGTTTTTCTTGTATGCATTGATTTAGGAGACATAATTTAGTTCACAGCCTATTCAAATCTGTATAATAAACAACAGTGTGTTAATACTGATTTTTACTTTTTCTAGGTTTTAAAACGACAAGGCTATGATGCTGCTTGTGACATATGGAGTCTTGGTGTCCTCCTCTACACAATGCTTACTGGGTGAGTGTGTACCATATGTTGTAAGCATTTATTCATCAATATTTTGGTTATATTATTTAGATTTATTTTTAATCTCTTATAATACTTTCTTTCCATATTTCCTTTGTTGTTTAATAATACAATTCTATGTGTATGTGTGTGTATCACTGTTATACCTGTATTACTGTTTTCTGTAATGTACTATTATTAAGTTCTTCAGGTTATGAGTTGATTTTTTTCCATATCTTTTTTGTACTCTGTGTCATAAACATATACTGTTTTAAATATTTTATTCTATAGTATGTCATGTCTTAATTATATTATTGTATATTAAATCTAAATTAATATTTCATAACCTGTATCTTGACCTGGTACTGTATGAAGCTTCATATTGTTGTTAATTTTTACTTAAGTAGATTTTAATGAGGTGTAGCATTAAATGAACTACTTAGAGTACTTTTGGATATTGCAAATAAATATGAAAATTACAAACCAAAAAAGAAACTTTATTCATTAGCATTTTATTCTGTTATAAATTAGTTACACTCCATTTGCAAATGGCCCTGATGATACACCAGAGGAAATACTGGCTCGAATAGGCAGTGGAAAATTCTCACTCAGTGGTGGCTACTGGAATTCTGTTTCAGACACAGCAAAGGTAAGTATGGCTTCCTATTAAAGCTTTTGAGAAAAGTATTTTTCATAATCCCTAGTGAGAAGAAATAATATCAGTTAGAAACTTATTGGTAAAGCAGTATTGCAGTGACATCACCAGATACCTCAGACTCAAAAATTGATCACTTATGTTTTTTCTTTCCCAGAATATATTGGTTTGGCCTTATTATCTATATATTTCATGCTACTTCTTACTAATGAAAATGATGAATAATACTTATGGTGGTCCTCATGATTTGTGTGTTTCATCTGTGCCTCACACTGCACTTTACCTAAATTATCGCCTTTAATCCTCTTAACAACACTGTAGAAGAGCTAGTAGTGTCGCCATTTCACAGTAGGAAACCAAAGCCCAGAATTTTAGTGTGAACTTCTCCACAGTTACACACCAGGCATGAGTAGGTGCTTCAAAAGAAACAGCTGATTCCAAAGTCCTTGTTCCCTAGAATAACTGTACCATGTTCTATTTTTGGTCCATATTAGGAAGATAGGGGTCTATCTTTTTCACAATAAATAGTAGTTTAGTTTTATAGTGTCAACTTGAATTGAAAAGCCTTTCTTGCTAGCAGACTTGCCATCCCCTGAATAGCATTGATTTGCCTTCTAACTCTGCTCTAGTTTCACTTTATTTGAAGAAAATTCTGTTTGAAAAGAAGAGGAGAGTTTTCCATTTTAAAATAAGAAAAACATAAAGGAGATGAGGAAGATACATATTGCTCACTCCTTTTTCTTAGAGGTGGATGCTAGACTTGAAATGATTGCATTAGTAAATAGGATATGTCAGAAATTTATACAGATAATTTTGGCATCGAGATGAAGCCTCAGTTGACTAGTTTAATATCTGTGTAGATAATATTTAGTATTGTAACTGTATTTAAAATGATATGTTAACTTTTCCCTTTGTTTAACAGTAAAATTTCTTAAACCAGATAATTCATTTTTCTTGGTACTTTTTACTTTTTTTAAATTCATGTATTGAGCACCTAAAATGTGCTTAATAAGTGAAGGTGCCAGGGATAAAAGATGGGACTCAGAATTCCTGATCTCAAAGAGCTCTCAGTCTAGTTGTGAGATGACCAGAAATAAACAGTCCAGTGTCACGTGTGCTTTTACAATGCTCTGCTTACTGTGCTAAAGAAGTTCACAGATGAAGTTTGATCAGAAAAATTTCATGGAAGGCTTTCCAGAAGCATTGAAGGGATTTGCCAGGCAGCTTTGGGAAGCAGAAGGATGTAGTCCATCCCAGGCTGAGGGAGCATGCATGCATGGTCACGATGGCATGGGAATGGCACAGTACCTCCAGGGTGGTGCACGGAGTTTGATGTGACTAGTACAAGGTACATGTGAGAGGGTCACTGATGAACCACAATTATGAAAGGTTTTGTCAGTCATGCTCAGGATTTGGGATTTTCTCTAATTACTGGGGAGCTACTGAAAAATACTAAGCATTGTAGTGATCAGATTTTCCTTTTTCAAGGTCACTGTGGAGTAGTAATTCTTAACCATTGGGATCCACTGCAAACTTTGTCACAATTGGTTGTCAGGCATATCAAGTAATGTTACCATAGAAAGTACCATAGTTTATACATTGCCTGGTTTTTTAATAAGTTAAAGCAAGTCTAGCTTATCTCTGTGATTTTTTTTTCATATGGAATGCTTCACGAATTTGCGTGTCATCCTTGTGCAGGGGCCATGCTAATCTTCTCTGTATCATTCCAATTTTAGTATATGTACTGCCGAAGCAAGCACTATCTCTATGATTTTTAAAATTTGGTTCTCATTCACTTGCATTTTATGATTTTTTTTGAGTGAAAGACAGATGAGGATGAGATACAAATAACGCAAAAAAATTACATCCAATGCACAGCCTATTTTATGAATGCCCACATGATTACTAATAAGTTTTGCTAATTTGTCCAGTTAATACTTGTGATTATAAGTATAATGTAATATGCTGAATACCCACAAAATTGAGAAGTCGAAAAAAATAAAAATGACTCTGTAATCTGTGGAGGGAGCATTTAGAACACTTCAATTCCTGTTATTGGACAGTTATATCCTGCTTTTACAAAGTAGTACAAAAAAATCTTAAGTAGCTGAAAGTTACTTAGAAATAAACCAACAAAAATGTAGAGAAAATCAGAATATCTGAGGGAAAAAAGAGCCAAAGTCCTTAAAGATACATAAACTGTGGTAAATTTACCCTTTGCACCAGAATTACTGTTAACTCAGGGAGGAGAAAACAAAGACTTAAGTTTTTACTTTTTTTAAAAACATCATCATATTGACTAAATTGCTTTGTACCCAGAGGTCTGCTACTTGGAAAGAATAGTGTCATGGAAGCCAAGGAAGAATACTACACAGTATCAGGTGCTATAGGAAAACAAATAACAGGTTTAAGCTTGTTTTATTCTTTTTCCCACTACAGGACCTGGTGTCAAAGATGCTTCATGTGGACCCTCACCAGAGACTGACCGCTGCCCTTGTGCTCAGACATCCTTGGATTGTCCACTGGGACCAACTGCCGCAATACCAACTCAACAGACAGGATGCACCACATCTGGTCAAGGTGAGCAGCCCACTGGGGCATGCATGCCACATGTCCTCCAGGGGACACTGTGAGATGCCGTCTCTGTACCACAACACCTGGCCCTTTCACTGCCTCTCAACATGCATCCACTTCTCAGGTGAGATTCTCATACAGTGGGTGGTTTAGTAAAGAAAAAGTCAAGGCATGCCAAAATACCATCCTAAAGCTAGTTTAGGAATGATTTCTGAGTTTATTAATCAGATAAGCTTTGTGGACTTCCTGACTTTTCTTTGTACTTTTCTATCTTACACACAAAACCCAAAAAAGACTCTGAGGTTGTCAGCAGTGGCAAAACACAAGTTCCAAAACAGCATTCCTTGCTGACTCTCATGGTAAAGGATTGCAGAGGTAAAAAAACAATTGAATAGTCCAGAGAAAAGTAAGGACTGGTTGTTATGAGCCCACCCCTGTCCTCTCTCATCCATAATTTCAACCTCCCTCATTGGCCTCTTCAATTTTAGTTAGATGAGAGGATTTGACTAGTGTGGTTATTTTCATTATGAGCCTAATAAAATCTATATAAATTTGCATGTGAAGAAATTATCTGGGGAAAATTCATTTCATATTCTGTGTATAAGTGACTACCCACTGTCATTATTTGAGATCTTTCTTTCCTGTTTTCAGGGTGCCATGGCAGCTACATACTCTGCTTTAAACCGTAATCAGTCACCAGTTTTGGAACCAGTAGGCCGCTCTACTCTTGCCCAGCGGAGAGGTATTAAAAAAATCACCTCTACAGCCCTGTGAAGTGACCTCAGTGAGATATTTGGTACCATGGTGTAAGTTGATAGCACAAGTTCTGGTGACAGGTAGCACATATCTGAGAGGCACCTGCAAGCACACACTGTCCCAGCTGGTACCCATAATGCTGCTGCTCCTGCTGCTGCTCCCGCTTTTGTCTCTTCTCGCTTTAAATGATTGTTAGCAAGTTAGATTTTCCTGGAGCTTCGGATGAAATGAAAATGGAAACATGATGAAGATATATTCACTGAATCAACAAGAATAATAATGAACACATGAATACCACCTAAAAATACACTGAATAAAGTACTCTACACCACATAGCATTATTTTTATAGGAAATATTTCATGTCCCTTAAATATTCTTCGTTAGTTATAGGGATGGACAGTTTATGTTAAGCACTTAGCTTAAACAATCCGTTTCTATTAGCACTGTATCCCTTGTGCCATCCAACATTTTGTATGTTTTTGTAAACAGTTCATATACAGTACATTTCTGTACTGCTTTCTTTAACGTATACATGCCTTGTTTAACTTGGAATCTATTATTAAACAATTGACTATTAAATCTGGTTAAATAGTTCACCTGGATTAACAGTATTGTTGGACAGCCCTCAAAATGGCCAGATTGTAGAACAGCCTTTGAATGTAATACTTCCAAAATGTACATATCTTTCCCCATGTCTGTTTCACTGGTTCATTTGTTTGTTTGTTTGTTTCTTAAAGTCAGGTGCTCTGTCAGGCTAACCTAGAGAGCTGTTGTGATAGAGAAAGTTATCGCGTGCGCACGCGCGCGCGCATGTGTGTGTGTGTGTGTGTGTGGTATGACAGACATCAAGAGTACACCTATGAAGTTAGTCCATATACTTTGCAAATACTTAGGGTCTTTTTTCCTTAATTAAGGAAGTAGTCCTTGAATTTTTTATCTTAAATCATCTCCATACTTAGAATTTGGCATACATTTGGGATTTTTCCCAATGTACATCAAAGACCTTTAAAAGGCATGGTGAAGAGATGGCAAAGGAAAATTTAGCAACAGGTCATTGAAATCCCATCGGATTTTTCGTGTTTAAATAGATCAAATTGCAGAATTTAGCATATGAATAACAGGATACCTGTTCTTGCATACCTGCAGGAAAAGTATGCTTTTTTGCAGGGGAAGAAAAAGATAAATCATAATGAATTATATCCCATTAAGATACTCTATATTAAACACTAATTTGAATGTAATAAAGGCCAAGGGCCTCTCTATGAAATTTGGACTTAAACTTTCTTATTCTAGGGAATAAAACATTCTGGAACAAATATTATCTGTTCTAACCTTAAATCATAGCTGAGGTAGACTAAATCAATGTTTAGCATTGTTTTATTAATTCCTCCTGATGATTTATAGCCATATAATGCTTTCTTTTATTTTTTTAAAAATTTTTATTGGCATATAGTTGATTTACAATATTGTGTTAGTTTCATAATTTCAGAAATGATCAGTTTTCAAAATGGGCACTGTATCTGCTTATTCATTATCTACATCAAATTTGGTAGTTTCCACAATTTCATTAAAGAAATTTCTGCATCCATTATTACCTGTATCTTTGCCAAGCTACCTAGCACACATCAGTATGTAATATGAAAAACATATGAGCAAGGAAAAGGTGATTTAACTTATCTCATTGAGAATGTGCCTGAACAGATCTTTCCTAGTCATGTACTAAGCCATTTACATCAGAAATCTCTTTTCCTGCCAGAAGCTTTAAATCTTCCCCCTGAGAGTACAAAGCCAAGAAAGCATGGTTTATCTAAATGTCTTGGAAGCCACTTGTTATTCCTTAACTTCTCCTCTGTGTAATTCAAGAGAAAGAGAAAATTGATCATGCCTTTTGCCCAGGTGACACAAAATGATTATTGCCTAGAAATCAAATATAAATTTGTCTTCTAAATTAAAAAATACATAAGAGGAAGGATTTCAGAAAATCTAGATGGATAAAGTTTTAAAATATTCTTGAGTATATGGATGCTAACGATTAACACCTGCTTTCCATTGCCTGGAAATAAAGGTGTTTTTTTTCTCCTCTATTACGTGTTTCAAACCACAATCATCCCAAATTCTTGTCACTTATGTAATTCTAGGCAGAAAATAGATCTTTTCAGATTTTTGACACTGACATTATTCCATAAGTGCTTAGGTGTATTGTTAATTGTAGTCTTTTAAAACCAGAACTAAAAGTGTAAATCCTTATAAATTGTCTAGTCCAACTTTCTCATATTGCATGTAAAGAACCTGAGACCCAGAGCAAAGATTCTAGAATCCTTAACTTCCCATTCAGTTTCCTTTTCCCTCATAACACCGTGCTGCCTTCCCCTCATATTATCACATGACCATGAGCTGAGTTGTTCAAAAACTATAGTTCTTGGGGCAGTCTTCTGCTGGTACATGAATGCCTTCTTTGCCTTCTCTGCCTAGAAGAGCTGCCAGTTTTATTGGAGAATAACTGGTTATATGTTCAAAAAACTGAAGGCCTTCTGCCTAAAAAGCAGTTCATGATTTATTTCATCTGTGATTCTGGTGTTCCTATTGCCTTTGACTTAGAGCAGACAAACTTGGCTAACAATGTGCTCTAAATGTAGTGCCTGTGCTGGGATAACCTTTCCATTAATTTCTTAAAGTCCAGTTTCTCTTGGGCCCTACAATTGTGGGAGTGAGGCCCTTTCCCATTAGTGCTGCTGGTTACCTCCCAGGAGGTTTTAGTTCAGTCTGAAGAATATTTCAATATGAAAGGAACTAAACTAACAGGCCAGTTTCACAAACCTCCTCTTAGCTTATAATCCAAAATAATATCCAGAATGGTAGGTTGAATTTAACATTACCAAGCACATACTGGAAAATACGGATTACACTATACCGTGTGTTTTCTATCCTCCCTTTCAAGTGATGATGCTAAATTAAGGTAAGTTTTTTGTCCTCTGAACTTTTCATATAAGTAAGTAATTTCAGTTCCTAATTCATAGAGATGTCATCTTTCTAAGTACAATGGACTCTTCACTTTAGCAGATTTGATATAGATTCATTTATTTGCAAGCAGCCCCAAAAGTCCAAAAATATAATAATTTTGACAAGGCACAAAGTTGGGATGCTGTGAGGCTGGAGACTTGACATGTGGGAAAAGTCGCTTGGTGAGTGTCTGGAGAGGGTGTGGTGTGTATGCAGTAGAGATTCCGCATTTCACACACAGTGGACTGCAAGGAGCTGGCTTGGGTCAACCTTTTCCCATCTGTTTTTAAGAAGTGGTTGCTGTTGGAACAAGGGAACATCATGGGAGGTGGGGCTAGTCTGCTAGCTGTACCTTGTACCCTCAGCCCAGGAAAGGCTTCATGATTGGGCACAATGACTTGGAAAGGAAAAGCACTAGGGTACATCCAGCCTCAGGTGACAGCAGAAAAGCATTCACGATTTGGGGGCTTAGTACAAATGTGCATCACCACAAAAGCCAGCAGTACACATTTCAACATGGCTGTGATTTTTCTCAACTTCCTGGCCTTTATACATGAGCTGAAAATTTTCAGGTTGCTTGACTGTATTTTATAGAGAAAATTCTCTCTTATGGTGGTATCGAGCATTTGAAATTTACAAAGGCATTAGGACAGATATCTCAGGAATGTAAATGGTCAGAAAAGGTCTGCTTTCTGTGATTAACAAATATGATGAGTTCCATTGCTGACCTTGGTGCTTAAACCAGGGGGTTCCAACCAGTCCTAGAGCTCTGTCCTTCTGAAAGGTCCACTTCCATGTGACTAACAAACTGGATGTATACTTTGAGCCTTATTTAATTCACAGATAAGTTGACTTAACTCAGCATTTTTATTTCAATTAATGAAAACAGTCCTCTCTTCACCTCCAGATTGCTTACATTTTGCTGGTCTCCCCAAGTGACCATTAGTGGAGACCAATTAATGAAGGAATGAAATTTGCTGGTGTTTTTTTTTTTTTTTAATTTGCTTTCTTGGGACTGTGGTGTTCTGCAGAGCCACGCTTAACCACTTTTTCTAGTGAAGAGTCTACAGAATGATAACTAAATATGGATGGCCAAGAAGATTTTGTATCTACAGTGCGCTTTATATATTTTTGACACTGCTGTATTCTGTGTGAGCAAATGACCTGTAACTGGTTCCAATGTGACTGAGTGTTCTCAATGAATTCTAGTAGCAAAGTCAACTTAATTTTCTTAAGCCTTGTATTACTATCTGTCTCACATTTACCACTTTGATTCCAGTCTTTTAACTGTTCATAACAGGGCATACCAAGGGTTGGGATGAGAGCCTACTTCCTACCTCTAAAGGCACTTTCCTCATTATTTTGCCATATAACCTTGAAGTGCATGATAAGCTGTTTAAATGTCCATGACTTCTCCCAGAGCAACTAGCAAAGTATATGACATTGAATAGAGATTAGTGGAAAGGAAAATTTAGAGACTAAACAGAGGTGTAAACCTCGAGAAAACCTCTGTAGAGCACATACCATTTGAGTACAATGTATGTAAATGTATGTGAGAAGAGAGTTGCTATAATAGTCCTCTCTAAGTAGATTAGTTCAATATCTAATGGAAGTGAAAATCTTTACTCCTATTATCACTATAGTACTGAGTGAACTGTATACTGAGTTTTTCAAACAAGTACTTAAAGTAGAACTTTTAAATATAAAGCAAGGACATAAGGACAAAGGTTTTGGTTTGTGTTTCTCTAAGTGTAGTTTACCATCTAAGGCTTTCTTTTTTAATTTAAAAAAAAAGCTTCAAGGTATTGCCATTCCTTAGCATCCTTAATAATTATGGGTGATGAGTTTTTAACTCTTAATATTATATACCTGTATTACATTTATCTTAACTCTTACCCTAAGCAAAAGGGAAGGTATACACCTAAGGGATGTAATTATTTTGCATTTTTGGCCATGGGTGGGAAAGGGGTGGGTATCTACTTAAACAGTTTTTAAAAAAGAAAAAAGTCACAAATATTTTTCTACTCTTATATATGATTTTACTTTATACTAGTTTCTCTCTAGTAAGGCATGCCAGAAGCCCATGACACCATATCATGAGTTCATATGTATTGTACCTTTTATTGGTGGTTAAATCTCATCAGATGCTTGGCACTGCTGCCATGATTATGAAATGCTTGTAAAGGATTAAATATCACTGAATATTTTAAATTGTTTTACTTAAGAGTCTAATCTGGGAAGTTTTCAAATCATACTATTAATGTATAATCTAAGCTCTTTCAGATGTATCCACGAATAATCCTGGAACAATATTGCTTGTATTCCTGTCACAGAACAGGTTTTGTAATCTTTAAAAGAAATGAAAATTTATATAATAAAGTTTCAAATAAATGCATGTATGTCCTTTTATGAGATTATTTCACTTAGGTTTGTCCGTTAGATGCCAGCAGCATGGCCCTCCTTCCCCAGTTGTGACAACCAGAAGTATCTCCAGACACTGTCAACCATTCCTAGTAGAGAACCACTGTTTGACAATTGTACTTTATTTCTCTGTCACTTAGGAATGTCCACTTCCTTAGAAAATGTTAAAATGCTAACGTTTTCAGAAAAGTGATTTAAAATAAGCTTACTTAAAAGTGAAGCTCTTCCTCCTGCATAGTCAGCTGTATTAGTTTGCTGAAGCTACCAATAAAGTACCACAGACTGGGTGGCTTAAAAAACAAATTTATTTTCTTACCATTCTGGAGGCTACCAATCTGAGACCTAGGTGTTAGCAGTATTGGTTTCCTTTAAGGTCTCTCCTCTGGGCTTGTAGATAGCTACCTTCCTATTCATGCGGTGTTCCTTTCTGTGCTGTGTCCTAATCTCTGTTTATAAAGACTCCTAGTCATATTGGATCAGGGCCCACCTTAATGATTTCATTTCAATTTAATTACGTCTTTAAACATCCTGTCTCCAAAGTCACATCCTGAGGTATTGGGGGTTATGAGTTAAATATACAAATTTTGGGAGGATACAATTAAGCCCCTAATGCTGAGTTTGTTTTCTGCCCTCCCTTCCTGTGTGTACTGAGCACCTACTGTGTGCCAGACATTCTGCTAAACACTGGTAATAGTAAGCAACTGATTTGGTCTCTGCCAAATTAGGTTTACAGTGAGGTAGGGGACACATGTTTATAAAGAAATAAGTGTCACATAAATATTACTCTTTGGGACAAGTAATAAAACTGAGCTGTGAGATTAATGAACCCGCAGCTCAAACCTGAACACGCCAGTTTGCCACAAAGCAGTAGAAGTCCGGGAGTTGGTGATGGACACAGAGGCCTGGCGTGCTGCAGTCCATGGAGTCGCAGAGTCGGACACGACTGAGCGACGGAACTGAACTGAGTAGAAGTCTGGCGCCAGGCAGCAGGGGGCGCTACCTGAGGGCGCCTGGGCCCCGCCCACTGCCTCGAGGATTCCACGTGCTCCCAGGCTCACGGCCCCGCCCCTGCCCCCAGGCTCACGGCCCCGCCCCCGGGCTCATGGCCACGGCCCCGCCCCCCGCGGGGCTCCTCCAACGGCCGTTAACATCCCGAGAGCGCGCCTGCCTATCTAACAATAGGAGCCAGCCGGCCACGCATGCGCCATAAGCCGGAGGGGCGTGGCCTGCTGACGTTGGGAGGCGGAGATAACGGACGCCAGCAGTCGCGACGCCATTTGCGGCTGAGCGTCGGCGAAGGCGGTTCTCGGAAGGCGTCCGTCGCTAGACTCCCGCAGACGCGACCCGGTCTCTCGCAGCCGGTTCGTGTCACCCTATCTCACGCGTCTCCCTTCGAAGGAGTCGCCGCCGCCACCCGGAGAGAAGTCGGAGACGCCGCAAGTGCGTCGTCAGCGCCATGCCTAAGAATAAAGGTAGTGCCGCCTGAACCTCAGGACCACGACTCCCCTCTGCCCGGTCTCCCTTGCTCTGTCCGCGGTCTCCGAATGGCCTAGGCCGCAGTAACTTTAGTCTCCGGCCTGCCTTCACACAGCTAGACTATCCCGACGCGATTCTGGACTCGGGGGAGGAGCTGGGAAGTTACTTCAGGCTTCCAGTTTAGTCACATTGGGGTGGAGCCGACGCCATTTTTGAAGGGCCTCTTGCGGGAGAATGTGTGCTTCTGCTCGTAATTCGCGCCAGACAGACCCCGGCGCTATAGGGACCTGTGGGTAGACCTCCGTGTGGCCTGGGCTTCCCGCATGGGCGCCTCTGGCCTTACCGGCAGTTAACTTCCACAGGGTGACGCCTGCTTTAAGGGGCCTTCAGTACTCTCGCATGGGATTCTTTATGGACAGTTGCTGAGTATTATTGAGACTCTTCCCTCTAACTGGTAAAGGGGGCTTGATAGCTTCTTTTTACTGCTAAATAGTACTCATATGGAAATACTATAGTTTATCCGTTTATCTACTGAAGGACATCTTGGTTGCTTCCAAGTTCAGGCAGTTAGGACCTTAATTTTTTACTGGCTTGATGTATTCTACAGATCCAGTGTAAACTCTCAGAGTTGCCACAATTGCTTCTCTCCCTCTACTACTACAAAAATCAGTGTGTTCCATTACAGTAGTGAGAACTCTTGCCAGGCCCCCCTCCGGCCCAGTTATCTTTTTGCACACAGATCTTTCATTTGGGAGAGCAGGTACAGAGAGACCTTATTTTATAAAATTATAAGCATTATAAACATAAGTATAAAATTATAAGTTTTATAAGCATTAGTTTCTTTTTCTACTGTTTTGCAGATAATGTCTTTTTCTTTAAAAACCATTAGGTAAAGGAGGTAAAAACAGACGCAGAGGCAAGAATGAGAATGAATCTGAAAAGAGAGAGCTGGTGTTCAAAGAAGATGGACAAGGTAAGCATTTAATAAGTTAGGTTTCTTTCAATAATAGTTCTCTTTTGTAAATAAAGATATTCAATTTCTGTTCATAATCCTTAGCAAAAAAACGTGTTGTCCCTTTTTGCTCTTCTCGTTTTCTCATCCCCCACACTTCTCCAGAGCAATGGACAAGGTAAGCATTTAATAAGTTAGGTTTCTTTCAATAATAGTTCTCTTTTGTAAATAAAGATACTCAATTTCTGTTCATAATCCTTAGCAAAAAAATGTGTTGTCCCTTTTTGCTCTTCTCGTTTTCTCATCCCCCACACTTCTCCAGAGCATTTATTTTGGTAGTTATTTCTATTTCTTGTATACTCAGCCTTTGTTGAGGGTTGATGGCATTTCTGTAAATAGGTATGTTTCACTCTTTTATGTAAACACACACAGAACTAAGAATGAATTGAACAGTTCAGAGGGAACTAAACTTCAAAAGCTGTATTGTTGACAATTCCATGACTTGGTTGGCTTTTTTTGATAGTGAATTGGTGCTACATAGTGTGTTCAATAGACCATGGGTATTAGAGGAATGAATCCAAAGCCTTTCCCTTACTTCTCCAGTTTTACTGGCATTTATCAATAATTTCTAAAATACAGTGAAATGAAACTGAACCATTGACTTGACCTTTTCAAACTGATAAAGATTTTTAAGTAATAACACTAGTTTCCCATGCTTTTATTTTGAGTAATTTCAACCTTTCAGAAAAGTTGGAGTTTAAGTACCATGAATTCCCTTAAACACTTCACATGTGCACGTGTGTGTGTGTCCATCCATCTTGAACCATTTGGAAGTTGGTTGCAGACATCATGGTACTTTTCCCTTACTATGAATACTTTATCATGTGTCTCCTAAGAACAGGTCTATTCTCTCACATCACTAAGGTTATCAGTTCAGTTCAGCCACTCAGTTGTGTCTGACTCTGCGACCCCATGGACTGCAGCATGTCAGGCTTTTTATTTCTTACCCTTGGTCATTTTTACCTCTTTTAGCAATTGACTTTATTTTGACTACTATTAGTTCTTTTTTGTGTTTCCCCCTCCCTCTTTAGGCTACCTTTTAATTGACTAGCAATATTGAGGTGGTCGATGGGTGCGAGGTTCACTGCAGTCTGAGTAACGCTGCCACTTTGCAACCCTACAGGTGAACCTTTGAAAGTTAGGTTTCATTATATTTACAAACTGGTGGATATATTTACAAACACAACTTGAGTAAGCGACAAGTTCTGGAGTGACCCCATCCCCCACCTCCGATCTTCTGGGCGACAAGAGATGGCCCTTGTGCAAGCCAGTATATAATTTCAGTTTTTCAAATGGCAGCAAAACAGGGTGGCTTCCTTGGTACCGTTTTGGAAAGATTTTGATTAAAACTTTGGCATTTGCCTGGGAACATCTTTCCAGCTTTACAAAAACCAAAATAATCGCTAATTTAACAAAGACATTAATAACATTCAAGCTGTTTTTATTTGCTAGTGTACCAAAGATTGTATTGTGACCAGTCTCTAAAGGCTAACCTTCCTCTGAGGGAAAGGAGATTGGTAACTGGGTGAGGATCCAAAGTGAGTGATTGATAAGGAACATTTTAGTATGTATTTTTGGAGAAGCCACTTTGATCTACAGAAGTAGAGCAAACAGTGATGAAGACAGTGGTCAGTCTACTTAACTCAGTGAGTAAGTAGGTAATTAAAATATTTCTAATAGAGACAGCTTGTCATGGACATGGCATTCCACAGCTCTGATTCTGGCTCTGCTGTATACTAGGTTGGTGTTTATCACGCCCTTGTACTTACTTTACTGCAAATACTTACTCCTAACCAACAAACCTATGTGTTCTAATGAACTTTATGTGGATTTTTTAAGTTGCCTTTATCAAAAATTGAGCAATATCCTGTACCCTTTTCTTTTCCCTCATCCAGAGTATGCCCAAGTAATCAAAATGTTGGGAAACGGACGATTGGAAGCGATGTGCTTCGATGGTGTTAAGAGATTGTGTCACATCAGAGGGAAACTGAGAAAGAAGGTAATTGTGGAGACTTGTTTTACTTTAATATAAAATTATGGTTAAAGGAGGAGGAATGGCAGTAAGGTTTTTATGAGCCAGGGACCTTTTTTTAAGCATCATTTATGTTGTATTCCTGCCCAAGGTGGTTAACCTGAATTTTATTGTGAGAAAATAATTAACAAGTCCAAATTGCGGGACACATTGTAAAACAAATGATCTGACTGTAGATATTGGGTTGGCGTTAACAACTTAAGGAAAAACATGAACCAGCTTTTTGACCAATCCAATACATGCAATGTTACTGTCATGAAAGAAAAACTCATTGGTTATGTGCAGTAAGTGGTCTTTATTTGGGTTCTGACTTGAGGTTGGGGGAAATAATTGTAAGGTGTTAAGAAATTTGAATATGAATTAATGGTAAATAAGTGTTGTATTAATGTTAAATTTCCTGAATTGAAATCATGAATGGGCAGCCTTGGAAAGAAATGATTAATTTCCCATCAATGTAGCTGATCAGGCAGATTGATTTATTCATCAGGTTGGTTGGAAGTCCCTCCAGTCTTGACTTTATGATTAAAAAAATAATAATTGGGTCATTAATGTTTCTGTTAGCAAACTAAAGGGATTTTGTTTCCTGTGTGTATTTGAGTACATGACGGGGGGGGAGGTAAAACCACATTTCTAATTTTACTATTCTCATATGTAATGGGTAACTAACCACTTGGAGTGCTTCAGTATTAGAAATCCCTTAATTCCTAAACTAATCGTTGGTCCTCTGGAATTATTAAACTGTCAAGTAGTTAAATAAGATTGTTATTTTTCTAATATCCCAAATGATAGAAACTTTAAAATGGCTCAGCTGCTTATTGTAGTTTTTTTTTTCCTTAATTCTAAATGTAGATACTCTACCCACAGTTGAAGTGAATAGTACGTATGTGTTGTAGGAAGACTGACTCAACATTGCTCTTGGTTGATTATTTTTATTTGAAATGTAACCTTCTCTGGCTTTTATAGGTCTGGATTAATACCTCAGACATTATATTGGTTGGTCTACGGGACTACCAGGTAAAAATATTATTAAAATTTTCATTGTTTATTTGCTTGAATTTGATTGAGCAACTGATGTTTAGAACATAAGTCATAACCAAATTTGACCAGTTACCAGGCCAGTAGGCTGCTCAGTATTGTGTCAATAAACATTTCTTAAGGGCCAGTTCTGTCATAGGCATTGTGCTGAGTACCCCAGGGATCATGGTTCCCCAGTGCCAGTCTATGGAATCTGCATTTTCACTATAGAAGAATCACAGTGTGAATTTTTCATGAAGCTAAATATTCCTTTTTCTCTTTTGGATATTTAGAAGTTCCCTTTTTGGAATGAAGGATACTATACTGTAGTTTTGTTAGTATTCTTAGTTGGCAGGATAAAAATGTAATTTTATGTTGGATTGCCTGCCTGCCCCAAGTTTTTAAATTTATACATATTGAAATAAAAATATGAAAACCATTACTCTAGAGGATACAACTGAGTGAGTCAGGCTGCCATCTCACAAAATGTTTATGGCCTGATAGTGGAGAGAATAAGAGGCACACAAGTGATTACAAGACAAATCATGATAAAAGTGTGTGTGCTCAGTCACTCAGTCATATCCAACTCTTGTGCTTTAAATTTAGATGGGAACTTAGGGAAGAAAATGGTAGTTGCCCTTGAGTGATCTCTATCTGGAGACACTACCCATGGTTTCCACTTATTGGAACTCATCACCATGTATATATTTACATTTTGAGTGATATTGTTTCTATTTTTAAAACTCTGATCATACTCTGATTTTTTTAAATGTTTGTTCCAGAATTAAAATTACTACTTTAAATCAATGGTTCTCCACTGTGGGTGACTTTTCCTCCAGGAGACATTTGGCAGTGTCTGGAGACATGACTGGTTTGCACACACGGGGGTAAGGGGCAGTGCTGCTGACATCTAATTGATAGAAACCAGGGGTGATGCTGAACATCCTAAAATGCACAGATTGGTCCCTACAGCAAAGAATTATATTGCCAAAAACATAAACAGTGCTGACATTGAGATAGCGTGCTCTAAACTCATATTATCTTAATGTCCATTTTCTTCTTTTGATCTTAAAGAGAACCTCAGAAGTAGAAAGAATTAATTCCCTGTTTGACAGAGAAGTCAAGGTTCTGAAAGATGTAACATTCATGCATGTGTGCTAGCATGCTGAGTTGCTTCAGTTGTGTCTGACTGACCCCAGGGACTGTAATCCACCAGGCTCCTTTGTCCATGAGCTTCTCTAGGCAGGAATACTGGAGTGGGTTGCCATGCCCTCCTCTGGGGATCAAACCCGAGTGTCTTTAAGTCCCCTGCATTGGCAGGTGGGTCCTTTACCACTAGTGCCACCTGGTAGCATTCATACTGATACTCTAAAATGACAGCCACAATAAATGTTCTGGTTCTTAATTTCCCATGATCCTTCTTTTATGCCCCTGCCACTGAGAGGGTGGTACAGGGGCCAGTAGCATCACTAGCTTTCAGTTAAATGCAGAATCTTGGACCCCACCCCAGGCCACCTCAATCAGAATGTGTGCTTTAACCAGAATCCCCTTGGACTTCCGTACATACTGCTTTATGAGAAGTGCTGGTCCTGAATCACACCATTCTTGGATCACTGTGATCACTTTGCTGCCTTTCTTTGGACCTGCTTTCAGGTCCAAAAATTTTTTTGAAGTTGAAACAATCAGCTTCAACCTGTTGTTCTTCCTTAATTAAGTCAGATTCTTTCAAGATGGAGAAGTGTGAATGTTACGAAGCATTCATTTTCAGTGGGACACTTGCATTAGAAATAGCCATGTATTTTACAAATACACTCTCATGGGCTTCATTCCACGACTCCTAATTTATCAGGAGATATAAAAGCTCCACCCAGGTAGCATTAGTGGTAAAGAATCTGCTTGCCAAGACACGGGTTAGATCTCTGGATTGGGAAGATCACCTGGAGGAGGAAATGGCAACCGACTCCAGTATTCTTGACTAGAGAGTTCCATGGACAGGGGAGCCTGGTGGGCTACAGTCCATGGGATCACAAAGAGTCAGAAGCAGCTGAGCATAGACATAAAAGCTCCACAAGAGATTCTCATGGATTTATATACTAAGAACCGCTGATTATGGAAAGGTATAATAATTCCCTTAGGTCATTATCCCAGTCTCAATTTTTGAATTAGTGTTTAATCACCTGTAAATTATGGTCCCAGTGAATTTTTATTTTTCAAAAGACTTCTAATCAGAGGGTAACTAAATAATCTAAGAAATTGTGTCTGCACAGTTCTGCTTCTTTTGAAGTGAAATCTATAAATGTCTTCCCTAAGCTTGTTGATCATTATTCACTTACGTGTGCAAGATTCTTCAGACTGACTTAAACCCAAGGATGTTTTTCAGAGGATAGGAGAAAACTAAAATTTTAGAAAAAGAAGAGTTTAATAGCACAACAGTGAGATTTTATTTTTTTATCCAGTTTGCAACTAATTTATGAAATTAATGGATAGTATTTTGGCATAATTATTTGTAAACATTATGTGTCTCTTTTTAAGGATAATAAAGCTGATGTGATTCTAAAATACAATGCAGATGAGGCTAGAAGTCTGAAGGCGTATGGCGAGCTTCCAGAACATGGTAATGTCTGAGTTATTATATTAACCTGTTAATATGCTGTTAATCCTTGACGATTTAGATGAAGGAATTTTGATAGAATTTTTGGATTTTGCATCTTTAGTTTTGTCTTTATGTGATTCATTCCAAGTATGCCTACCTTCACTTCATATTACTAGACACCTTAAGAAGAAAGTAACTGAGACTGTTTCTAGTAACTATACTTTTGGTGAGGATTTATCCTTTTTGAGCCCTGGACTATATTTTGGTTGTTGCATATTACCAAGAAAACTGTAACTTTACTTAAGTGTAAAAATCCTGCTGTAATTATTTACTTCGCATTTCCAATCTAGGAAGTACTAATATATCTGGGAATAGGACTAGGACTTCCTGGTTCATTTACGTTATTAAGGGATAAGCACGATATAACCAAATTTTTCTGATTGATGTGTTTGATAATTTCTGGGTTGTTAACATGTGCTACCTTTTTTGAAGTGTAGCTGGAAGTTGTAATAGTTTAGAGTTTGTTTAATTGGAGCCAGCCTCACCAAAAATACCTTTGTGAACAAAAGAAAACTATTTCCATTTTGACTTAGAGATGTTGTTGTGTGAAATAGTGTTCTGTATACTAGGGTTGTTAGGTAGACGTTACGAGGATATTTTTGATAATGAAACAGATTAAATTAAAAGTTTGACTTCTATAGTTCAAAGTTTGATACCCAACTACTGCTTTCAGTGGGCAATTTAATTCATTTTTGCTAGCATCTTGGCTATATTATATGGCTATATTTGTTATTGTTTCTTAAGCTAAAATCAATGAAACTGATACATTTGGTCCTGGAGATGATGACGAAATCCAGTTTGATGACATCGGAGATGATGATGAAGACATTGATGATGTAAGATGATGCACCTTGTGTTTCTCAACTTTCGTTTGTGCTAGTCAAATTGTTTGTGCTTATGAGAATTTTATAGTCTTTTTCAATACTTCTTGCTGAAAAGATCAGTATTTGCTTTGGCAGTATGGATGCTAGGCATTGGAATCTTGTTTAAATTAAGAGTATCTAGAGAGAGAGTTGTGAGAAATAAGATTTTATCAAAGAAACAGGCCTTTTCTTTTATTGATATAGTTGATGTACAATATTATATAAGTTACAAATGTACAACATACAGATTGACAATTTTGAAAGGTTATAGTCTGTTTATAGTTATTATTAATATAAATATCCATATTCCCTCTGTTGTACAAACATGCCTTCTCTTAATTGAAACTAGTATATTAGAAGAATAATCCTGTTTGAACCAGTTTGGTATGAAGCATTGGAATTACAACATAACATTAAAAGCCCTGTTAAAGGGACTCCCTGGATTGCCAGTGGTTAGGACTCTGTGCTTTCACTGCTGACAGCCTGGGTTTGACCCCTGGTCAGGGAGCTAAGATCCCACAAGCTTTGTGGCACAGCCCCCCACCGCCACCCCCACACACACACCCCCGCCCCCCCAACTGCAAAAAAAAGCAAAGACTGGTCTTGAGGAAGACTGAGTTAAGTGATACCTACCACCAAGATTCTATAATTAACATATTTCTATACTTGGTTTATTACATTTCTGTCTATACCTTTATTCATCTGTCAGTCCATCTTACATATTTTGATGTATCTCCAAACCATTTAGAATGCACCATGACTTAAAATTTGAGCACATATCCCCAGTCTGTTTTTACAGTTACGGATTTTTAAACATACAGTACTGTATTTTTTTTTCTTTTTTATTTTTATTAGTTGGAGGCTAATTACAATATTGTAGTGGTTTTTGCCATACATTGACATGAATCAGCCATGGATTTACATGTATTCCCCATCCCGATCCTCCCTCCCCATCCCATCCCTCTGGGTCTTCCCAGTGCACCAGCCCTGAGCACTTGTCTCATGCATCCAACCTGTGCTGGTGATCTGTTTCACCCTTGATAGTATGCTTGTTTCAATGCTATTCTCTCAGAACATTCCACCCTTGCCTTCTCCCACAGAGTCCCAAAGTCTGTTCTGAACATACTGTATTTTAAAGCATACCCTAAAATAGAAAATTAATAAGGGTTAAGAAATCATCATTCTATTTTTAATGTTACCTCCCTTTAGAGACCCTGAGCCAGGGGATTCCTGTGACTAAACTGTTAGATACTTGGACAATAGATTTATTGATGATATTCTGTGACAGTAACCTGGCATGGAGCTGTTGCGTTAAGGAGTGATCCCAAGAGTCTGACAGATGGGGTAGAAGACATTTTTTAGGAACTTTAAGAACCTAATCAGAGAACATGACCGAGTCTGAAGTCACATACTCAGAGGTGATAGGGTAAAGCTTTTCTAAGAAAAATATTCTTAAATTTGTGCTAGTTCTTCCTCAGAACTGGGATAATAAAGACAGTAGTTATTAAAGTAATTTGAGTTGGCTTGTACATTTTCTAAGTGTTGCTTTATCAGCTGAGAACACTACTTCTTTCCCAAGATGTTTCTCCAAATGGTTTCTGTGTGTTCTTGCCTTCACCTCTATAACCAGGTTGACTGGTAGGAGAATTTAGTATCACACTTGGCCCTTTCTTAAGGAAGTAACACTCCTTGTGTCTGCTCCCACCCCCAAGATAAATTTCTAGTCACTAGGATGAAGGGAAGTAGACAGTAATCTTTATAGATAATATTCTGCATTACATATAGCATTCTGAAGGAATTTGTTAAAGATTCACTGGCAGCAGACCAGAATTGAGAAAATCCTAGTGTACAGAATTTCCTCTTCAAACTGAATTTGTTTCCCAGATAGTCTAAAGAGGGTGCATGTGCCCCTTACATGAGGTAGACTGTTGGAATATAAAAATTCTTTGGTTTGATTTTTTTTCTTCCAGATCTAAAGCGGCGAACTCAGCCTTGCACATTCCAGTTTTCTCTGAAGATTGTTCAACAGTTTGGATTTTGACTGTGACTCGTTAAATAAAAGTTCATGAGCATTGCAATTTGCTAGAGCAGACTGATTTCTTTCTAAGTTATTTCTTTAAAAACTGGTAATGCTGAATTCTCTTAAGTGAAATTTTAAGGCCACTTTGTTATTTTGGTATAATGGAGCTTTCAAAAAGGAAAAAAATGCATTACTGCCTTTCCCACTTTGACCACTTCCAGTAATAAGTAAATGGATGTTTCGAATAAACCACTTGCCGTAAACTCATTATAAACTATAATTAAGCCCTAGTTTTGACTTAGCTGTTGACTGTACAGTGAATTTTTATATATTCCAGTTACCTAGTTCCCTTAAGATTTTGGTACAATTTAAGGGAAGCAGAAATCTTCATTTGAAGTAAAAAATGATTGTTCTGTTTTTCATATTTAAGTAGCATTTGGCTATTTTTATACTAACTTTGGTATCATATACTTTTTTTTCATGATCTTATTTTGCCACTGTAAGCCTGTCAACAAAAAAGGCATTTCCAAAGTGCAGTTTTTAGAACCTGGGTTTTAATAGCAATTTTGAATTTATAGAGTTAGTAGTTGCAGAAATCAAACACTAGGTGGCACCCAGTTATCTTAACACTGGAGACATTGATATAGTTATCAACTTTTTTCTTCTTATTGTTCATGGATGATTTCCCAAACAACAAAAGACTGTGATCACATGCTATGTAGAATATTTTTGCAAAACAAAAAGATAATGTTCAAAAAGTTTTATTTTCAGAAGTCATATGTGTAAGCTGGAATTTTAAGCGCTTTATAAACACTTATGTGTAAATGAAAATTTAATTTCATAACTGCTTGTACAAATTAAGCCTTTTGGAAAGTATCTCTAAGCTGGGAAAAGAGGAAGGCCTAACAATGAAATGAAAAGATGGTCTCCAGCTTCTGAATGGAAGAGCTGCATACAAGGGAGAAATATAATAAAGTCAGTATTGTGCTGTAGAGAATATTAAACCCTTACTTTGTGTTTAGGATGTATTTTGTGTACAGGTGTTTTTGCTTGTATTTTATTGACAATTTAGATTTACCCTGTGTTACTTAGTTTTCCATTATCACTTCTAGTAACATGAAATTAAGGGCAGGACCTAGACCTCACTAGCTACATAGAAATCATATAAAGGAAGTCCTTTTATACTACAAAAGAAGTCCTTCTTGTAGCTTTCAACACTTGTAAGGAACCAGTTTTGACAAATTTGACTTCGTGATCGTCATCATCAGTAATCTAAACCTCCTAAGATATTTAGGCTTCTGTACATAAAAGTGCTTTGCTAAATTTGTGCCATATGTAGATCTTTCCTTCACATTATTGTACCAAGAATGTTTTGACCCTGCATCTGTGCTACAGTTCATGGTGTAGGGGTGGTGCAACACCAACATTGGTTTTTCTACTTAACTTCCTCTAACAAATGGTCTGTCTAAAGATTCTTTTCAAATTACAAATATGACAGTAATTCTTGTGTTCGCAAGTGACTTTTTCTTGCCTAGGTAGTAACAGTCCCATCTGGTGCTGTTGCACTCTAGAAGATCTCAAATCACGTTTATTAAAATAGTTGGGGTAAATTCATAGTTCATCTGCAACACTACTTGGAGGAATTATTTTACTTAATTGTCTTTAATGTAAAAATTAGTTTCACTGATTGGATTATATTTCACATGAATTTGGAATGGAAGTGGTCGTTAAGAAAAAAAATTTTGGGAGAGGGGCCAAGATGGCGGAGGAATAGGACGGGGAGACCACTTTCTCTCCTACAAATTCATCGAAAGAACATTTGAATGCTGAGCAAATTGCACAAAACAACTTCTGATCGCTAGCAGAGGACATCAGGCGCCCAGAAAAGCAGCCCATTGTCTTCGAAGGGAGGTAGGACAAAATATAAAAGATAAAAAGGGAGTCAAAAGAGCTACGGACGGAGACCCGTCCCGGGAAGGGAGTCTTAATAGAGGAAGTTTCCAATCACCAGGAAACCCTCGCACTGGCGGGACTGGGGGAAGTTTTCAGCAATCTAACTGGGAGGAAAAATTAAACAAGGCCCACAGATTACGTGCCTAAAAGCAACTCCCAGCAGAAAAGTACCCCAGACGCCCGTACCCGCCAGCAACAAGCGGGGGCGGGATGGAGAGGAGCGGGCGGCATTGCTTAGGGCCCGAACACACTGCCGGCGGTTCGCAAAACAAAGGGACTGAGAAAGTCCAGAGAAGAGCCGGCCCATCCCCGCTGGAGGTTGGAGGCAGGGGGGAGAGGAAAAGGGCAAACTCAGCCCCTGAGAAGCCACCCCCTCCCACACTGCAAACAGGCCCCCGGTTCCTATCTAAAGACTTCCTGAGACCCGACTGGCGACGCGCGCTGGGGCCGCGGAGGGAAAAAGCGCGCCGTACCCGGGGAGATTGCGCCCAAGCCTCTGGCTGCCTGGGCCGCTCGCCGCGGAGGGAAAAGGTGCGCCACCTCCGGGGAGAGTGCGCCCAAGCCTCTGGCTCCCTGAGCCGCCCGCCGCGGAGGGAGAAAGCGCGCCGTACCCGGGGAGAGTGTGCCCAAGCCTCGCTGCCTGAGCTGCCCGCCGCGGAGGGAAAAAGCGCGCCGTACCCGGGGAGATTGCGCCCAAGCCTCTGGCTGCCTGAGCTGCCCGCCGCGGAGGGAAAAGGAGCGCCACCTCCGGGGAGAGTGCGCCCAAGCCTCTGGCTGCCTGAGCCGCTCACCGTGGAGGGAAAAGGCGCGCTGCACCCGGGGAGAGTACGCCCAAGCCTCTGGCTGCCTGAACCGCTCAGGCCGGGGAAGGCACAAAACGCAGGCGCAACCGAATCTGCGTTTTTGTGGAGTACCCGAAAACTGGAACCGCACTCAACGCAGGGCCCGCTCCATATAGAGCAGCCGGGAGCCTGAGCAGTGTAGACGGCGAAAGCGCTGACGCCCGTGAGCGGGGCAAACCCAGTGTGACCGGAACACGGCAAGTGCTATCCACACAGAGCGGTATCTGTCTGCAGCGCCCCGCCCTCCCCGTAGCAGGACTGAACTGAACTAGAGAACCTAAATAAGAGCTCACCTCCACCCGCCTGTGTCAGGGCGGAAATTAGACACCGAAGAGACGGCAAAGAGAAGCCAAATAAACAAAGGGAACCGCTTCAGAAAGGACTGGTGCAACAGAATAAAATCCCTGAAGGTAACACCGACTACACCGGAAGGGGCCTACAGATATCGAGAAGTGTAAGCTGGAAAGAGGAGCTATCTGAAATTGAACTGAACCTACGCTGACTGCAACAACTCCAGAGAAATTCCTAGATATATATTTTTTTTTTTTAATTAAAAAAAATTTATTTTCTATCCTTTTTTTTTATTTTTTTTAATTTTTTCTCTTTTATTTTCTTTTAAAATTCCCTATTACTTCCCCATTACTCCTCAACTTTCATTTTCATATATTTTTACGATTTTTTTAATTAGGGAAAAAAAATTTTTTTTTCTTTTTTTTTCTTTTTCTTGTTTTTCTCTCCTATTTCCTTTTAAAGTCCTCTAATACTCCTCTATTATTCCTTAATTTTCATTTTCATTTCACTATAACCTTGCCAAAAAAAAAAAAAGAGAGAGAGAGAAAAACCCTATTTTTAAATCAAACTTCATATACATTTCTAAATTTTTTTGTGTGTTTTTGTTTTTAAATATTGTATTTCAAAGAGTCTAACCTCTACACTAGATTTTTAATCTTTGTTTTTCAGTAGTATGTGATATAAATTTTGGTCATTTAAGAATCCAATATTCAGTTCCCATTTCTATTCAGGAGTGTGGTGATTACTCTCCCACTTTTGACTCTCTCTTTTCTACCTCGGAACACCTCTATTTCCTCCTTTCCCCTTCTCTTCCCAATCCAACTGTGTGAATCTTTGTGGGTGTCTGGGCTACGGAGAACACTTCGGGAACAGATAACTGCGTAGATCTGTCTCTCTCCTCTTGAGTCCCCTTCTTCTCCTCCTGCTCACCTCTATCTCCTTCCTCCCTCTCCTATTCTTCATGTAACTCTGTGAACCTCTCTGGTTGTCTCTCATGGTGGAGAATCTTTTCACCATTAACCTAGAAGTTTTATTATCAGTGCTGTATAGTTGGAGAAGTCTTGAGACTATTGGAAGAACAAAACTGAAATCCAGAGGCAGGAGACTTAAGCCCAAATCTTGAGAAAACCAGAAAATTCCTGACTACACGGAACATTAAGGAATAAGAGACCATCCAAAAGCTTCCATACCTACACCAAAACCAACCACCACCCAAGAGCCAATAAGCTCCAGTACAAGACATACCATGCAAATTCTTTAGCAACGCAGAAACATAGACCTGAGTGTCAACATACAGGCTCTCCAAAGTCACACCTAACACATAGATCCATCGCAAAACTCATTACTGGACACTCCATTGCACTCCAGAGAGAAGAAATCCAATTCCACGCACCAGAACGCTGACACAAGCTTCCCTAACCAGGAAACCTTGACAAACAAATCGTCCAACCCCACCCACTGGGTGAAACCTCCACAATAAAAAGGAACCTCAGACCACAAGAATACAGAAAGCCCACTCCAGACACAGCAATCTAAACAAGATGAAAAGGCAGAGAAATACCCAACAGCTAAAGGAACATGAAAAAAGCCCACCAAGTCAAACAAAAGAGGAGGAAATAGGGAATCTACCAGAAAAAGAATTTAGAATAATGATAATAAAAATGATCCAAAATCTTGAAAACAAAATGGAGTTACAAATAAATAGCCTGGAGATAAAGATTGAGAAGATGCAAGAAATGTTTAACAAGGACCTAGAAGAAATAAAAAGTCAATTAAAAATTAATAATGAAATAAATGAGATCAAAAACACTCTGGAGGGAACCATGAGTAGAATAACAGAGACAGAAGATAGGATAAGTGAGTTAGAAGA